GTGTATTTGTGCACCTATCAGTGTATGTATATTTATATATGCGTGTGTATGTGATATGTACGAAAATCTGCATTTTAAATAAAAGGTAGAGACAGTGGTGGCTGTAAGTCTAGAGCTGAGAACGAAATTGCCTAGTCCTCACGGACCGTCTCAGCCCTCCCTGTCCATGTCATTCCACCGTCTCAGCCCTCCTGTCCATGTCATCCCAGAGTTAACTGGAGCCACTGAGCATCCACAGCTTCCTCTTCTGGCCCAGAGTCCCCTTCCTCCAGGTCTGATTAGATTACTCAGAACTGCAGAATACTGCCAATGTAAGGCATGATTTCCACAACTAGGACAGAAGGACTGCTTCGTTCCAAAACACCTGCAGGAACAAGTAACCCTGCCTGCAGAGGCTCTTGAAGCTGTATTGACAGAGCATTAAACCGCATGCTGGGTCTTTCGTTGTCAAATAAGTCTGGGAAATAAGATAAACTTTATTCTCCTCTTGAAGACGTCATGGTATAGGAGAGCATATTAAGTCCCTAAAGAGTCATGGAGGTGAGGCCATGCCAACCTTGCTTCAGCGAGTGTCCTCTATGCCATGTCACTGCAAAATCACCAGTGCTTAAGGCTCTGGGTGAACATGGCACTGCAGGGTGAAATGGGAGCATTCATAGGGTGTGTCCTCTCAGTGCTCATCGTCTCACCCCATTGTTCTTCACGTCATTGACCGCCCCCACTGCCTAGCCCTACCCCTACTCTACCCCTACCCCTACCTTACCCCTACCCCTACCCCTACCCTGACCTAACCCTACCCCTACCCCTACCCTGACCTAACCCTATCCCTAACCCTATCCCTACCCCTACCCTAACCTAACCCTATCCCTACCCCTACCCTAGCCCACAAGCTCTGTGGCATGGAGCCCACGCCCTCTCCAGGGCACCCCCCGCATTCCCGGGTCGCGGTCAGGGCACACGGCAGGGGTGCCTGGGCACACGGCAGGGGTGCCGGGGCACACGGCAGGGACGCCGGGGCACACGGCAGGGGTGCCGGGGCACACGGCAGGGACGCCGGGGCACACGGCAGGGACGCCGGGGCACACGGCCAGACCGCGGAGCCTCACCGCTGTGCTTCGCCGAGTGGCAGAGCTTCAGGTCGTCGCAGGTGCGGGCCGGGTGCTTCCTGGAGCCGTCGGGGCTGCGCATGGTGTCGATCTGGCTGCTGAGGGCCTTGAGGGTGGCGTGGACGCCCGGGTCCGTCTTGTTCTTGTCGTCGGGCGCCGCCTCGTCCTCCGTGAACTCAGGGAGGGGGTCCGGCAGGCCCTCCTCGTAGTGCCCCAGGATGTCCCCGAGCGCGGCCGTCAGGTGGCCCGGGGGACCCGGCGGGCCCGGCGGCCCCGGCTCGCCCGGAGGACCCTGATGGTGCGAGCATTGGAAACACATGAGCACACGCACTGCTCTGTGTTCCACACATGAGCACACACACTGCTTCTGTGTTCCACACATGAGCATACGCACTGCTCTGTGTTCCACACATGAGCACACACACTGCTCTGTGTTCCACACATGAGCACACGCACTGCTCTGTGTTCCACCGGGCACACGCACTGCTCTGTGTTCCACACATGAGCACACGCACTGCTCTGTGTTCCACCGGGCACACGCACTGCTCTGTGTTCCACACATGAGCACACACACTGCTTCTGTGTTCCACACATGAGCACACACACTGCTCTGTGTTCCACACATGAGCACACACACTGCTCTGTGTTCCACACATGAGCACACGCACTGCTCTGTGTTCCACAAATGAGCACACACACTGCTTCTGTGTTCCACACATGAGCACACGCACTGCTCTGTGTTCCACACATGAGCACACGCACTGCTCTGTGTTCCACACATGAGCACACACACTGCTTCTGTGTTCCACACATGAGCACATGCACTGCTCTGTGTTCCACACATGAGCACACACACTGCTTCTGTGTTCCACACATGAGCACATGCACTGCTCTGTGTTCCACACATGAGCACACACACTGCTTCTGTGTTCCACACATGAGCACACGCACTGCTCTGTGTTCCACACATGAGCACACGCACTGCTTCTGTGTTCCACCGGGCACACGCACTGCTTCTGTGTTCCACACATGAGCACACGCACTGCTCTGTGTTCCACACATGAGCACACGCACTGCTTCTGTGTTCCACCGGGCACACGCACTGCTTCTGTGTTCCACACATGAGCACACGCACTGCTTCTGTGTTCCACACATGAGCACACGCACTGCTCTGTGTTCCACACATGAGCACACGCACTGCTTCTGTGTTCCACACATGAGCACACGCACTGCTCTGTGTTCCACACATGAGCACACGCACTGCTTCTGTGTTCCACACATGAGCACACGCACTGCTTCTGTGTTCCACACATGAGCACACGCACTGCTCTGTGTTCCACACATGAGCACACGCACTGCTCTGTGTTCCACACATGAGCACACGCACTGCTTCTGTGTTCCACACATGAGCACACGCACTGCTTCTGTGTTCCACACATGAGAACACACACTGCTTCTGTGTTCCACCGGGCACACGCACTGCTTCTGTGTTCCACACATGAGCACACACACTGCTCTGTGTTCCACACATGAGCACACGCACTGCTCTGTGTTCCACCGGGCACACGCACTGCTCTGTGTTCCACACATGAGCACACGCACTGCTCTGTGTTCCACACATGAGCACACGCACTGCTTCTGTGTTCCACACATGAGCACACGCACTGCTTCTGTGTTCCACACATGAGAACACACACTGCTTCTGTGTTCCACCGGGCACACGCACTGCTTCTGTGTTCCACACATGAGCACACGCACTGCTTCTGTGTTCCACTGGGCACACGCCCTGCCGGCCCCAGCGCCCAGGGCGTCACAGCTCACACCCAGCCCCACGGTGCGGGGACCTGGGCGCCGTGCCCGCTACCCAGACGGCGCTGCCTGCCCGCCTGGCTGGAGCCCTGAGGGTGAGGGTGACGCAGAGCTGCCTCCAGCCCACGTGCCTCCAAGTCAGCATCTGAGCGGCAGTGAGAGCCAAGCTCCAAGTGTGCGCGCTGACATTTACCCTGACGATGCAGTATGCTCTACAGAAAACACGCTGATATGGACCTTCGTTTCCAGAGACTGGGGCAGGCACAGCTGCAGTGTCTCACTGGAGTCATGACAGAGGCTGGGCCGAGTCAGCAGAGCTGGGGGTCCCAGGTCTGTGAGGTTACCCATCAACACCAGGGAAATGCCCACAACAAGCACCCACAGGACAACCGTCCCGTTTTTAAATAAGCGGGAAAGCGGGAAGTCTTCTAAGTGTTCAAATTAATGCGTAGGTCAAAATCCTGTGGTCTAAACAAAATTTAAGTATGTTCCTTTAGCCCTTTTAAAAAATTATTTTCAATGACCTCAGAGAGAAAGGAAGAGAAGAGAGAGAGAGAAGCATCAGTGATGAGAGAGAATGATGGATCGGCTGCCTCCTGCACGCCCCCCACTGGGGATCAAGCCCTCAACCTGGGCCTCTGCCCTGAGCGGGAATGGAACTGGGACCTTCTGGTTCACAGGTTGACACTAAACCACTGAGCCCCCGCCAGCTGGGCTCTTTAGGTCTTCCCGTAACAAGAGAACGAGCCAAGAAGCGGGAAGCTGAGTGGTCACCTTCCCCCCAAGGCGGCAGGCTGCCCCCGAAGAGCCGGCTCTGACAAGCTGCTCCCACCTTTCCTCGCCCGGAGAGCCTGTGAGACATGCTGGGTCCCCTTTAAGACCGCATCATGCCCCGTGAGCTCCTTCGCACCAATCTCAGGAGGTGTTTCCAGTGGGGACCAGTGAGCCGCAAAATAAAGTCAGCCGAGGCCACACAAGCCAGAGGAAGGGCGCTGCCGGCTGTCTCCGCCCAGAGAAACAATAGGGAGTGTTCCTCTGGCCCGAGGGAGAACGAAGGCTTTTCGTTCCATAAAGTAAGTGATGAGCATTCAGCTGGATGGCCAGCAAGGGGCAGAGACCGGACAGAGGAACGGGTAAGGAGACCGAGGAGGGAGGAGGTGAGGAGGTTCCCCGAAGACCCGAGAAGCCAGCGTCTAGCTCACAGAACCCTCGGGCCGACACCATGGCATGCGGGATGAACGTGCTCATGGAAACCCTCCCTAAGGCCGTCTGCATTGAAATCCTCCCCAACGCCGTGCACCTCGCAGCCTTTCCATGAGCGGCCACTCGTCAGCCTCGCCCTGGCTCACTGCCGCTGGGAAAGCGCCCCCGCGCCCCTCGGGACACAGGCGAGCCACGCTCACTGCCTCCGCAGTCAACGCAGGCCCCGCCAGGGGGACATCACACTCAGTCACTGGGTTAGAGAAGGCCGAACCCGTTACTTCCTCAGACCATCCCCGGGGCCTTGAGGTCTGTGCCGGTCCCTCTGTCCCTCCGCCGTCGGCCGCACGCAGCGCCAGGCTGGGACCAGGCTGTGAGGCCCGGCAGAGCCTGGGCACGCTCACCCGGGGCTTACCTCGGGGCCCGCCTCCCCGATGCTGCCCCGCACGCCAGGAGGCCCGATGGGGCCCAGCGGCCCGGCATTGCCTTCCTTCCCGGACGGACCCACGGGGCCTGGAGGACCCTGCAAGGAACAAACACTGTTAGCTTCTCTGGGAAACCTCCACGGCGCCTCTCCCCCCCCGAAGGGCCATCTTCCTGATGGAGCTGCCACGGCAGTGTCTCCGCCTCAGATCCTAATGACCGACTAACGAGTGGAGTTCCAGAACATTCCGCGTTTACTATCACCGCACATCGATTGTCATCCGTGCACGTGAAAGACCAGCAGCAGCTAAAAACCGCTGATGGACTCGTCCTCTGCTTTCATGATTATCGGGACTGTTCCGTCAAATCTCACGTGTTGTGAACTGAATTATAAATTCCGTGAACGAGGCGTAAGAAAAAGGCAGGAGGCGAAGTGATGACATAATTAGAAGTTACGTTCACGTGTTCACACAAGTATCTCATGACATCCCAACAACTTTAATACTACTCATTCAATGACACTGAAAGGTTTTGTTTGGACTAGATTCAGACATAGCAGAAATTCGAATGATTTTCCTGAACAGCTATGTCTGCCAATGATGTGAGGACATTAATGCACAGGAGTGCTAGTGCGGGATTTCTAAAGCCGCCAGTGCTGGTCTCCTTCAGGACTTGCTTCTGCATCAGCCTGAAGCACACACGCTGAGGGAGGGCCCAGGTCCTCAAACACGCATTCAGCTGCAGCCAGCCGCTCGGCCTCTCCCCCGGGCCTCTGCGATGCTCACAGAGCACAGAGCCGAGGCACCGGACCGGGAGTGAACACGGTCAGGAAGCGGCCCCGCGGGTGAGGCGTTCACCGCAGGAAAGGGGTGTTACTGTGGGGCCAAGGAAATGCCAAGGCACACGCAGGGCTTTCTACTTGAGGGGAATTGCCGAGAGGTCTCTGTCCTGCGCTGGCGCTGCTGCAGGGGATCGGAATCCTCGCTGCCGTCGGGAAAGCGCCCCCACCCCACCCCCCCCGCCCCGAGGACATCACAGCGGCTGCGTTACTCACTCTCGGGCCGAACGGTCCAGGGATCCCAGCGCTGCCTTGCTCGCCATTGGGACCCTGAGTGGGGAAGACATGTAAATGTTACCAAAGTACGTCCATCCTGCACTCATGTTCATCCTGGTGAACACCCGCTGCACTGACGCCAGCTGCATGCACTCCTCACACAGTCGTGTCTCCACAATGTATTCGTGAGTTCCCACAAGGAACGGCAACTGCAGGAGGAACGGGGTGTATACCCGTGGGTTCATGTCTTTCCTCCAAAACCACAGCTAACGGGGCAATGGCAGGGCCAGGTGGGCGGGTCATTGCTTTGAAGTGACAATAAGGTACGAAACATCCATCCACTGTACGACAGGTGTTCATGTCAAGACACAGGTGTGTCTCCTGTGTGCTCCACCGGAGGCGGCGAGTCCGCAGAGACGCTGCTTACCGGCGGCCCGGGAAGGCCCTGCAGGCCGGTGAACCCTCGGTGGCCCTTCTGGCCTCGGTCGCCGCGGTCCCCGTGATCGCCTTTGTCACCGCGCGGCCCTTGGGGTCCCTGGAAACAGGGTCATAGCATGGATATCTGAATGAGACTCTCTAACCTGGAAGTAACTGCAAGTAGCAAAAGAACTGAACGTGGGCCATGCAATCTCATTGAAAATAACACATAATACTGAACAGAGCTTTTAAAATCTACAGAGAGCTTTTAAACCCATCGTGTGATTCTTAGAAAATCTCAGAAAGAAGGGTATGATCATGCCTATTATTTTGGGAGAGGAAACTGTGACTTTAAGAGTCTTTATTGATTATCTGAAAGAACTCATAGCTTGAGAAATTCGGTAGTTTACATTTATAAGCTTTACATTGTACTTCTTCTTTGGGAGTGTATTTGATGAAGGGAGACATAATTTTTTTTAAAGAAAAACAGAACTTACCGGTAAGCCACGTTTCCCAGCTCGACCAGGGGGCCCTATGGGGCCGCGGGAACCCTAGGAGAAATTTCCACAAAAGTTGGTAAAAAAAAAAAAAAAAAAAAAAAACCACACAAGTGCACACACTGTGTAGATACAGAATTCAAACAACGTATTTGTAGCTGGATGGATATTTATCACATTTATAGGCACCTAAGCACACACGTACGGCTAATTAATGAAAACCAGGCTAAGGTCCTGGGTGAAAGCGCGTGCTCATCTACTGCCAACGACACGTCCACAATCAGTTTCATTAACTGGTGGAACGTTACTTGCTTAAATGGAACCCGATTCCCTATAAATCACGACTGTCAGGTGGTGGAAGTGAAAGCATCAGCCTTTTGGAGTATCTGTTAGAAATCAAACATTTGCCTCGAAGACTAACACAAAGCAGCTCCCGCGAGCTGCCTGTCATTCTCGGTCTGGGGTCCCCGTCAGGGCGCCTGGGACTGTGCGTGCGTCCGAGCAGCTCCAACACAGAGCACCGAGGCCGGTCGCTGCGGGGAAGGGCCTCTCCTTACCGGGTCTCCTCTCTGTCCTGCGTCTCCGGGGGCACCCACGGGGCCGGGCGTGCCCGGGGCACCCTGAGAGCCCGGCAGGCCCGCGGGCCCGGGGTCCCCTCGGTCACCCTGTCGGAATAAGAGGACATCATCCTTTTAACACCGTGGACGTCACAGGCCCGCACTCCGTGGCGGTGCCCACATCGCGGCCAGGTGAGCAGGGGATGCCCCACCGCTCCCCACTCCTGCGAGTGGGTCTGAAACTCAGACCCTGCAGGAGCCCCAGCCGACGCCTCCGTGCCACACAGACGTGAGCGCAACGGCTTTCCGCCTCTCCCTAAGACCGCCGTCTCGCTTCGCTGTGCGATCACACCTCCGTTCACTTAGGAGATCTACCCAGTTATGACGTTCCTGCTTCTATCGGAAAATCGGGGCTGGGCTGGAGCCTGAGGAGGAGGGCCGTGGCTCCCTGGTTAGTGTCCGGAAGGTTCCATGTTCCCACACCCCCCTCCCAGTGATCTCCCCCCATCCGCCCGACAGGTCAGCCAGGGGCAGGCCTTACGCGTTCGCCAACTGCGCCGTCCCGTCCAGGAGTGCCGTCATTGCCCGCCGGACCCTACAGAGATCAGATGGAAACGGGATTAACGGGCAATAAACACCGCACTCCGATGATCCAACTCCAGACACCTTACGGCGGCCACACTCACTTCCCCGCTGGCAACTGCGACAGCTCATGGCTCCTCAGAGAGAGGGCGCTGTCTTCTCTGCCACTCTGAATGCTTGGGAGATTAATGTGTTTTTACCTAATCTACATTCTGCATTTCCATTTTTTTGTTCTAACGAAGGGAACGTCTCAAATCCTTTGAAATACACATACATTAAATTCTTGATATTTTGTTTTCTTGGTATTACCAGTGAATGTTTTTTTTTTTACTTTTACTTCTTAACGCTTATCCAAAAAAATATCTGTGAAGTCCTTAAATAAAATAATTAAACTATCAAATAACTTTTCAAAGTAGTCTTCTCTCTTTTTTTTTTTTCCAGAATATCATTGCTCCCATCTGATGAGAACACTCGCTCTGAAAGGCACTGGCTGTTCCTCCCACACGCCCGTGCCAGGAGCGTTGGTGATTCACTCATCACAGCACTGCAGACAGCCCATGCCACCAGAACCATGGTCGGCAAACTGCGGCTCGCAAGCCACCTGCGGCTCTTTGGCCCTTTGAGTGTGGCTCTTCCACAAAACACCACGGCCTGGGCGAGTCTGTGTTGAAGAAGTGGCGTTAGAAGAAGTTTAAGTTTAAAAAATGTGGCTCTCCAAAGAGATGTCCATCGCTGTGCTGTTGGTATTGGCTCTGATGACTAAGGAGTTTGCCGACCATGGCCACAGAAGCTCTCACACCTCCTTCCACAGCCCGGTTTCCTCCCTCAGCCCACGGGCCATGGCACCAATCCTGTGCCTGTGCCTGTGCCGGGGCTTGGGAAAGGATCTCCGCCCGGCCCTGTCACCAGTCCAACAGTCACACTGACCCCGCCATCGCTCTGGAAAGTGGCAGAGTGACACATACGCTACAAACACAATGAAATGGCAACAGGGGAGCATGGACGGAGGTGTCCCTTTACGTTCAAAACAACTGGCAGCAACCTGAGTCAACCGAGATGCCTGGTTCCAGAGGAGGGGAGTCAGAGCAAAGCCCTTCTCGCAGGAGGGTCCCTATGCCATCGCCTGTCAATGCTCCCGGAAGCCGGGCACGGAAAACACCGCCCCTCAGAAACCGCCACCGGCAAACGCACTGTTTCTCAATCCACCTCGGAGTGGAAAAGCCGTCCCCATGCCCACGGCTCCGACAGGAGCTCCGTTCTCGGTACTCACCTCAGGTCCCGGCTCCCCGACAGGGCCGTTCGAGCCTGGGGGGCCCACGGGCCCGGGGGGCCCTTTGTCTCCGGTGGCGCCCGTCGCTCCCACCTTTCCTGGTGTGCCCTGGAATGGGGTACAGGAATGTCACCCACTCCCAAAGAAGTGTAAGAATGCCACTTCCCAAAGAGCCTGCATGCATTCAGCCCGGCCGGCCTGGCTCAGTGGTTGAGTGTCCACCTAAGAACCAGGAGGTCACGGTTCGATTCCCGGTCAAAGGCACACGCCTGGGGTGCGGGCTGGATCCCCAGTGGGTACATGCAGGAGGCAGCCAATCAGTGATGCTCATCACTCATGTTTCTGTTTCCCTCTTCCTCCTGCTGCCTCTCTGAATTAAAACAAACAAACAAACAAGCCCTACCCTGTTTGGCTCAGTGAACAGAGGTCGACCTGCGGACCGAAGGGTCCCAGGTTCGATTCCAGTCAAGGGCACATGCCCGGTTGCAGGCTCCATCCCCTTCAGGGATGTGCAGGAGACCACCGGTCAGTGATTCTCTCTCCTCATTGATGTTTCTCTCTCTCTCCCTCTCCCTTCCTCTCTGAAATCAAATATATATATATACTCTTTTTTTTTTTTTTAAGAGAATGCCCGTTCCGTTTACTCGGGCGCTATCTGCTCGCTTTGTTTCCACGCCCTGTCTCCCTCTGGGCGGCTTTCTCCCGGTGTTGGCTCCAGCTGCCGGAACTCTCCTTCTCTCCCGGTTCGCTGGCCTCAGACCTCCACCCACACGTGCCCAGGGCCATGGCCCCAGCTGCTCCTTTCTCGGTCAACACCCCACTTTGTAAAAACAGCACCTGCTTTCTTCTCACGTGTGCAAACTCTGAGGGCAAAATTCGTGTCTTCAAAGCTAATGACCAGGCTCCAGAGAATATGAGATTCTTGGACCCCTCGTCCCCCCACCCGTCCCCAGGGATCAGGGTCACTTTCAGAGGTTTTCTTTCGCGTTCTCCCCACTGTCACCACCCGTATCACTTTAGCTCAACTCCTTCCTCGCCTGGGTGGCTCCTGAGACCCGCTCTGTGCCCATGGGCGTCTCTGTCGCATGTTTATTAAGGAGGGGCCCCGACTCACCAGGAGACCCCCCTCTGGCTCCTCGGATGGTTTAACATTGCAGAGACATTTAGAGTCACCCCCAACCCACATGCGTATTTGTCAGATAAATACGCTTTTCAACAACTTGGTAAGTTACTTAAAGAAAGAATTTCACGTGTAAAGTCAAAAGCCTTTGAAGATACTCGGAATTTGTATCGAAAAAGACTTTAAATCTATTCAGCAAACACAGACACACGCGATGTGCACAGACAGAGGAACGCGGACTCGGGCGCTGCTCACCGCGGGGCCGGGCAGGCCCGGCATGCCTCGCTCCCCGCGCTGCCCCGGCATGCCCACGATTCCTCTCTGCCCCGTGGTGCCCGCGGGGCCGGGCGGGCCGTCCGGACCCTGATGGGAGGACAAGCCAGAGTGAGAAGGTGTCCTGGTAGAACTCTGCACAAGAACCTCACAGCAGATCACGCAGTCCAGGGTTTCCGAAGCAGGAGACGTTCTCTGCCTCACAGACCACACTTTACATATAAGTAATCACCGCGCCGTCCACCCGGGCCTCCTCACATTGTTTAAGAAGTAAACATGGCTTATCAAACGAAAGAGAATCTGGAGATAAATAAGCATACTGATGGAATAAAAGAGGCAACTATTCAGGCAAATATTTGTTCCTCTTTTAAAAGGACACGTTTTTAAAATAAAGAGAATGATACCATTTGTCTGGACACATTCACGTGTAAAGGCGTTTGGATATTAAATGAAGCAATGACTTCATAGGAAGCTTAATGAATGCAATGCAGACAAACCAGAAAGAGTTTTCTCGTTTGCATTTTGAACTCCGCACCCATCAGGGCTGCATTTCCTATTCACCCGAGCGCGGGGTTCTGAGGCAGAGAACTGAGCGGGCAAAGCCTACAGGCGTAAAGCCGGTGCCCGCGCACACACACAGCCACTCTGACAGCACACACAGCCTCTCTGACAGCGCACACAGCCTCTCTGACAGCGCACACAGCCTCTCTGACAGCACACACAGCCTCTCTGACAGCACACAGTCTCCCTGACAGCGCACACACAGCCTCTCTGACAGCGCACACAGCCTCTCTGACAGCACACACAGCCTCCCTGACAGCGCACACACAGCCTCTCTGACAGCACACACAGCCTCTCTGACAGCGCACACAGCCTCCCTGACAGCGCACACACAGCCTCTCTGACAGCACACACAGCCTCTCTGACAGCGCACACAGCCTCTCTGACAGCACACACAGCCTCTCTGACAGCACACACAGCCTCTCTGACAGCGCACACAGCCTCTCTGACAGCACACACAGCCTCTCTGACAGCACACAGTCTCCCTGACAGCGCACACACAGCCTCTCTGACAGCGCACACAGCCTCTCTGACAGCGCACACAGCCTCTCTGACAGCGCACACAGCCTCTCTGACAGCACACACAGCCTCTCTGACAGCGCACACAGCCTCTCTGACAGCACACACAGCCTCTCTGACAGCACACAGTCTCCCTGACAGCGCACACACAGCCTCTCTGACAGCGCACACAGCCTCTCTGACAGCACACACAGCCTCCCTGACAGCGCGCACACAGCCTCTCTGACAGCGCACACAGCCTCTCTGACAGCGCACACACAGCCTCTCTGACAGCGCACACAGCCTCTCTGACAGCACACACAGCCTCTCTGACAGCGCACACAGCCTCTCTGACAGCACACACAGCCTCTCTGACAGCGCACACACAGCCTCTCTGACAGCGCACACAGCCTCTCTGACAGCGCACACAGCCTCTCTGACAGCGCACACACAGCCTCTCTGACAGCACACACAGCCTCTCTGACAGCACACACAGCCTCTCTGACAGCACACACAGCCTCTCTGACAGCACACAGCCTCTCTGACAGCACACACAGCCTCTCTGACAGCACACAGCCTCTCTGACAGCACACACAGCCTCCCTGACAGCGCACACACAGCCTCTCTGACAGCACACACAGCCTCTCTGACAGCGCACACACAGCCTCTCTGACAGCACACACAGCCTCTCTGACAGCGCACACAGCCTCTCTGACAGCACACACAGCCTCCCTGACAGCACACACACAGCCTCTGACAGCGATCCTGGCCATTTCCATCAGCGGGTACCCAGTTACGGGGGCTCTAGAGCAAAGATGCCAACTCACAGGCTGCCCGTCTTCTCCGGGGTCCCCTTTGTCTCCTGGGCCCCCGGGGGGCCCGGCCGGTCCACGATCTCCCACGCGCCCGTGAGAGCCGGGGTCCCCGCGAAGACCGGGCGGCCCCTCCTTCCCGGGCTCCCCGAGGGGCCCCGCCGGGCCGGGAGCTCCCTGTGGGACAGAGAGAAAGCGGGAGGGCAGGGGGGGCGGGGAGGCCCTGGGCAGCCTCTGTGCCTCAGGGGCGCTCCCCGGCCTCGCGCCATCTCCCCTCCCCCGTGTTCCTGTCGGATACTCAGATCTTCCTTCCCCAGAAGAAGACCCACATCATCTGCAGACAGTCCCCTCTGAGTCATTGTTGGAAGCTGAGATTAACTTGAATTTCAAACTGCTTACGGCTCTGACCCAACAATAAACACATAGCATCCGTTTCTGTCTGCTCTCTCTTCACACAGGAAGAATAGCATTGAATAGACAAAGTCCCAGATTGCTTCCCACCGGAAGGGAAGGTGAGCACTAGGACTGGGTTCTCAGCGGCCACAGGACAGTGACCTAAGATTGGGGCGAACAGGGCTTGTAGGCAAGCTCCCCCAAGAATCAGTGGCTCAGAGATGAATGTGTTGTGACCGCACAGCGGGAGGAATGATCAGATAAGGGTTGTTCATGTGGGAAATAGATCATTCTGGATGAAATTAAAAAATAATGAGAATTAAGTCTACGTGCATCTCTGTCACACGTACAGATACGTGTCGGTGTGCATGTGCGCGTGTGTGCGAGCAGTCACTCCACCTTCAGGGGTGTGACTGACTTACCACAGGGCCGGGGGGGCCCACTCTGCCGGCGGAACCAGGAAATCCGGTGGCGCCCTAGAACACAGCACAGAAGCACTTCACGTCACCCTGCCTGGCGCTCGCTCCCCGGGGCCCGCGTTTCCACGGGGATGCTTGGCCTCTGGGTCCCTTCGTGCCGGGGCCCACGTCTAGCTAAGCCTGCATCCTGAGTTCTGAGAGGGGAGCTGGGCTGGCTGGGAGGAGGGATGAGTCCTCCCTCTCCACCCTCCGTGCATCTGGAACACGTGCAGGCGTGTTCGAGGCCAGGGCTGACCCCACACGGTGTTTCCCCCGCGGGAAGGGACAGCGCTCCACACCGTCCCCTCGGCCACAGCCCGGTGCTGCTCACACAGGAGGGAGGCGGCGGGTCTCCGAGGGGCCTCCCCTCCGAGCACCGCCTTCCGGAAGCCGGAGCTGCCGCTTCAGGTCAACTTTCCAATGTCTAGCGGCTGACTGGGTCCGCCCCGAGCTTCCCCCCAACCCAACTCACCGGGGGGCCCTGCGTGCCGCGCCCGCCTTTCAGTCCGGGGACACCGCTGGGGCCCTGGAAGGGAGGACAGAGAGGCGGCGTGAGGCCGACGGCTGCGCACCGGGCCGAGGGGGAGCACCGGCCGCTCCCAGGTCCTCCTCGCACTTACGTGGGGGCCTGGGGATCCCGCCAGCCCCTGTGGGCCCGGAGAGCCGGCGTCTCCCTTCTGTCCTGGCTCCCCGGGCTCCCCCTTCACGCCGGGCTGCCCGTCGGGACCCTGTGTCAACGGCATAAGCGAGCAATGGTCAGACCACGTGCAGACGCGGCACTCCGCAGCGATGCTCACTGACACGACTGACACGGGCTGTCATCAGCGTGAAGTGTGCTTTGCCGTCAGGGTGACAGCAGAGGAGAGAGGACGGCCTGGGGATCCTTAAGGACGGTCTGAGAGAAGTGCGTTCTCCCGCCAGGTTTTATTATAACAAACAAGCAGAGACTTGGGAGCTGTATGAGCGCATCCACTTTTGTGCGAGTCCGTGAGCTGTTGGAAAAGGAGAATACCTAGAAAACCGCACACTTTCCAGAATCTTCTACCTTCCGCACATAGGGCAATGATCATTGATTAGCGCGTGCTCTAACGGGAGTGCTCACCGAACGTGAGAGACACACGGAAATCATACCTGGGGGCCAGCAAAGCCGACAGCGCCGATGGGGCCGTTTTCCCCGCGGGAGCCCTGGAAGACAAGGGAGGAGCACTCACCTCCGCAGGCAGGAGCGGGGGCACTGTTCCCGCCACACGGAGGCGCCCCGAGCCCTGGCTGGAGGACGGAGGGGGAGGCGTGGTGCCTGCCCGCCCCGGAGCGCTGCTCGGCCCCAGGAAGGATGAAGCAGCGGTGTTTGCAACAACACGATGGGCCTTCGGATATCACGCCAAGTGAAAGCAGTCAGCCAGAAGAAGCTAAAACCACATGATTCCACTCACGGGCAGGAATCAAACTTAGACTCGTGGTGGCCAGAGAGAGAGGTGGAGGGGGCGGGGCCTGATATAAGGTGAAGGGAGCCGGTCTGACTGTGGGTGGGGGGCATATGCAGATCCTGTATCATAGAAAGTGACGCTCGAAAAACCTGTATGACCCTATTAGCCAACGTCACCCCAATAAATTTAATTAAGGTTTCTTAAAAATACAATTATATAAGTTTGGAGTGTCTTGAAATAATATATAGAAACATCAGACATACTGCTTGAGGAAGACTCTTAAATGTGATACACACACACACATACATACACATACACACACACATACACGCATACACACACACATACACACTCACGCACACACATACATACACACATATACACACTCACATACACACATACACACCTACACACACTCACACACACACACACTCACACACACACACACACACACACACACACACACATCATAGAACCAAACTTCCCAGGGCTGAAGTTTCAAAGAAGTCTCTTAATTACTTGGTTAATGAGCTGCCTACTTCACACACTGGAATGTATCACATTAGCAGAGTGATAATCTTTAAGTTTAATGAGGAAAGTAAAAGCTGGGAACCAGGACGTCATAAAGAGCCTCATGTATCAGGCCCGTGTTCGACAGCCATGGAGGCCGAGTGAGGAGCTGTCTATGCCCAGTGCGATGCTGAGACCATCGCCCACGTCACTTACAGGATTGCCGCGGGAGCCAGGAGGGCCGACCAAACCTCGAGGGCCAGGTTCACCCTGCGGGGCAGACGGCAGATGGTTATCGTCCGACACAGTAGCAAGCACTGCACCACGGTGGGAAGTGGAGGGCAGGGAACGGGGAGGGAACTGGGAAGGCAGGGAACGGGGGACAGGGAATGGGGAGGCAGGGAATGGGGAGGGCAGGGGACGGGGAGGCAGGGAACGGGGAGGCAGGGAACGGGGAGGCAGGGAGCGGGGAGGGCAGGGGACAGGGAGGCAGGGAACAGGAGGCAGGGAATGGGCAGGGCAGGGAACGAACGTGAATAGCCAGCGGCCATGTTTTATGGGAGGGCAAACACCGAGAAAGAGTCCGCATCCAGGCCCCGTGGTTCTGACTCCACAGAAGGACTCGTTACCTTTTCTCCGGTGGGACCTGCAGGACCCGGGGGGCCCAGGGGGCCGGGTAGACCCTGTGGGTGAGCAGAGGAACAGGGCGCTGAGGGAAAGCACGCACCCAGTCTCCAGGTTAAACAGACAGAGAGGGGCTGTGCTGGGGCATGACCTACATCAGCAATGCCACCCACACAGTCTCCACACCTTCCTCTCTGGTCCAGAACAGTCTCCACTGGATATTCTCCACCGAATGTTCTCATCTCTCCCATCTAATCCAGCTCACCCCGGTGTGGCCTGCCTCCACACAGCGGTCTGGTTCCGTGCGGTTCCCTGCCAGCGCCCCTGATCTCGGCCTATCAATGCTGCTGACACCTATTTATTTAAAATTCGAGTCTACACTGAAGAGACGTGTCTTCTTTTGTACAAAATGCCATATTCTTCATTCTAATACACTAGCAAAATGTCTCTCTTTTACTTAAAAAGAGTGACGTGTGCTAATGACGGCTTTCCCCTCCTCTTGGACGTAAGGAGCTTCTCTGAGAAGACGGGGTCTCTCGCTCAGAGCCGGGAGCTGCCACGGGACACGAACGGGGTCTCCTGGACACGTGGCCACGGACCCCCTCCTCCGCTCTCCCTCAACCACGTTCTCCCTGATACACGTTGCCCCTGCCTCTTCCTGCGCAGCCAGACAGGCGCTCGCAACTTAACTCCCGTGTGTGCTGCTGAAGAAGCTCAAGGAGCAAAAATCACATTCCAGTTTTATATCATTAGCAAGACACGAGGAAACGGATTTCAATTCTCTGGATCCAGAGTGGAACAGCATTCCTCCGGTAATATAGTTCCTTAAAGGAGGGGATGGAATAAGAAAACAAACGTACACACTTTCTTATCGAGAGAAAACGTATTCATGTACCTTTTACTGATGCTGATTCCTCGCCCCGTGTTTCCTCACCCCTCACCTCCAACAGACTGTGAAGCACTCATCACAGCTTCGCTCTACAAAGCTCCACCTGCCTCGCCTGGCGGGAGGTCTAGCCCCGGCCGCCGCCCAGCTCCTGACACTAACTGCCTGTGACGTAGAAAGATGAGAGGCCTCATGGCTCACAGCAGTGACCTCTCACGTCTCTCCACAGCGACTTTCCTTCCTGGCTGCCTTCCTCAAGGAACGCAAAATGAGTGTCCACGGTTGATCAGCACCTGACCTCGCTCTGCTCATTCTCCAAGCCCGACCACCACGGAAGCACCACCAGCTTTATGCTGGGAAGTCCAGGCTAAGTCACAGGACGATGATAACGCTGACTCCAGGGCTGGGGAGGGGCCAGGGGGAGGGGGGGCACGAATGGTTCACTTACTCTCGCTCCGTCGTTCCCAGCTGTGCCTTCCGAGCCCTTCTCGCCGATGCCGCCCTGGGGAAACAGAACGGCCCGCGTTCGCCCGGCGTCTTCCCCACACGTGCAGGGAGGTCTCCTGGGCGGGGCGCCATCTCTTATGCTCGGAGCTGTATCTCCCTGAGCTTAGAGCAATGGCTGGCCCTGCACATCCTCTCAATAAATATTTACTAAAAATGAGTGAGTGAACATGACCCAGGATGGTAAAGTCCGGCCAGGAAGCCATGATCAGAAGACAATCTAACCAGAAGAATAAAGACAGACTCACCCTGTCGCCCTTGGGGCCCGGCGTCCCTGCAATCCCGCGCTCCCCGGGCATGCCCTGCAGGCCTGGGGGGCCCGTGTCCCCGGGGGTGCCAGCTGGTCCCGGGCTGCCCTGAAATGAACCAACAGGAAGGGGTCCCTCAACACCCAAACGGAACCTCCTGGACCCACCACGCTGGGAGTCGAACAGCAGCTTCTCGGAGATTTCACACGGTACGGCCTCGTGCTTACGGGTCTCATTGGGAAAACTGCCTCTGAGTTCATTAAAAAACAATCAGACCCACCATTTTAATGTTTATGTTTTCAACTTTTCCCTTTGGGGACACTGAGTACTGATTCAAATAGAAATGATAGCGCTTCCTTTGTTTTTTCTTGTTTTGGTAACATCATGAGGAGGTTCTACTAAAGAAAGGAGATGTTACATTTAGAGAGTATTTCCATTCTCTCTGTAATAAACCCATGATATGAAGCTGGTTTTGAGGCTCATCCAGTGATTACATTGAGGAAATCTTATGCAATCACTTTGGATCTTAAAGGTTTGCATAATCATTTAAAGCTCTTCTTGAGCTGTGTACGCTGAAACGGGTCACTTTGTCTTCCATCGATGGTAAAATGGCGCCCAGAAGAAACGGTGCTGATGTTTGCCTTCTGCTGTGTTGTAGTTTAGATTCTGCAAAAACAACCATCTTCCACGTGTTCTGTAAGCGGGATCGCGGAGCACAAAACAAGAAAAGGGGAGCACAAACCCCAGCACCACCCGAGACTCCTTTTCAGCTGCGCGCGGTGCCCAGCGCAGCCTGGAGGTGCTCAGTAAGGATTTGGTGAAGAAGAAAATGAAACAGTCAACTAACCCGAGACACACGAGGACACGTTCTCAGTCCATACTCACCTTGGGGCCGTCGGGGCCGTGCCCGCCAGCCATCCCCTTCTCGCCGGGCAGCCCCGTGATCCCGGGCTCTCCGCGCTCCCCCGGGTTCCCGCGCTCTCCCTAGCACACAGGGGGTTCAGACAGCCTCAGTGCTGGGGCTACAAGGGGGTTAGAACATTCCTGAAAGCACGAGAAGGCTCCTCCCGGAGAAACGCTTAGAAATGATCAATGACTGAGGCCCAGTTTCCCAATTCAGTGACAGGAAATAACGGTGGAGGCAGAACGGAGTGGTTTCGCAGCACAGAGTATGGCTCATGGGGTTGGTTGCAACACGTAGAAGAATGTTAATGCTACAGTGAAGCCCCGTTTAAGAGACTAGCAAGAGGTGCTTTTTAAACAGAAGCCAACGGCAGCAGTGGCTTGTAAAGGAGAATACTTACTCGAGGTCCCAGTGGGCCCACGGCCCCCGGTTCGCCAGGAACTCCCTGTGAGATACATTTTAAAACGTTGGAAGAAAATCTCTGAGCTAAATTTTGTTTATTTATTAGAAATATTCCCAGGTCATACACCTAATTTTTAACGCACTATTAGAAGTCTGCCTGAGCCCAAAATATTGAAGAAAGATGTGCCCACTTTTATGAATAGAGTGGGTATCACATACATTGGAGGGAAATATTTCTCCAGGTAAATTTATATTGTAACTGAATATTTGATTTTTGGCAATGAGAACATACAAAATGTTATCTTCCAAAGTGCATTCATTTTTTTAGAGATAAAATAATATCTAGGCTAAAAGCCTTTTATTTCCTATTGCAATGTGGGAAAGTTTTAAGAGAGGAAGTATTAAACTAAAAGCAGTAGAATTGAATAAAGCCAATTCCACTCAACTCAGTAAAAAGCTCTTGAACATGCACTGTGGGTGACACACTCCACTAGGGATTGTGGGTTCAGACTATGGCAGCCATGACTCCAGTAAAGTTTGTTTTTAACTGTAGAAACGTTTGCCAATGAAGCCTTCTTTCTTTGATAAAGATAATCACTGTGGGTATAAAGTAGGCCCTTGAAACTGTCTTCATTGAGGTGTGATCTTCCTAAAACCCACATCAAACTGTAGTGCCCCTACTTACTGTCGTTATTCTAAGAGGAAGAACACAGCGGACTGGAATTAAGACCCTCTGTGATCCGGCCCAAACTCCCCCTCCAGCCTCCCTCCACTGAGTCACACTCGGCACTGCTGGCTCACAGAACTGTGCTCACCGCCTTAACTTCGCCTTCGTAGCGTCCTTCCTGTCCCACTCACCTTTCCTCCTCCGCTTACATCTCATGAAAGTTATGACTTCGTCCAGGAAACTTTCCTGACCCTCCCGTCTGAATCAACAGCACCGTCTGTGTTCCCACCATAGCCGTAAGCATCACTGTAACGGTCCCCCTATCCTTCTGTCCCCGACTGCCACACAGCTTAAGGGCAAGGCCATGGCCATCTTGTTCAATCGGTGAAGGCCAACCAAGGCTTAGTACAGCTAAACACGCAGCACTCAGCAAACATTGGCTGAATGGGGGGATGACTGAATTACACAGAGGGAAGTAAATTAAATAAATCCATGTGCTCATAAAATGACGGAAATAAAGTGGTATCTGTTCATAGCGGTTGGTAAAGCTCCAGTGAAACCCGGTCACATGACTAAGATGCGCTCAGGGATTAGAAGTCGTGGGAAGCATCTGACCGGGCTCCAGGCCCATCAGCTGTGCAGCCTCACACCTGTGTGCCTCTCTGCGCTCCGTAGCAAGGGGTCATAATAGCAGTGGGGGTGGTTTTGAACCAGGAGGTCTGGGTTCGACTCCCCCTCAGGGCCCATGCCTGGGTTGCGACTCGATCCTCAGTGTGGGACATGCAGAAGGCAGCCGATCCATGATTCCCTCTCATCATTGATATTTCTATCTTTCTCTCTCCCTCTCCCTTCCTCTCAGAGATCAATAGAAAGATAATATATGTAAATCAAACCGGAATGGAGCCCCGCCCATAATGAGTGACGTTAAGAAGCAGTGGTTTTGGTAATGCTGTTCGTCTTTAAGCACTCACCTGATCGCCTGGCTTTCCACCTTCCCCGGGAGGCCCTGGGGGGCCGGGAAGCCCCTGAAACCAAAGCAACAAGGAAGGTGTGACTCGGGGAAGCGGACCAGGCCACCAGGGTTAGACCTTCTGCAACTCCCAAAGCCTCCGGGACGCCATTTCAAGCAAAAGATACTGTTCCAGCACCAGCTGAGACACACAGACTGAGAGACTTCCCTCTCCTGACATGACCACAGAAGCTAGCTGACAGTGTAGGCCTTCATTTGCATGTCACTTAGCCAGCCGACAAAGAACAGTACAACAGCAGGCTCTGTGGATGTGTAGGTTTTTAAAGGCTCTGGGAACAACCTATCAGGTTACTAGAATACTACTGGAAGTTTCTTTTCTCCAGGTTCTGCTTATTCCTGCTGCTGAATAATCTACCACACCAATATACTTACATAAATTATGAAAACTTGTTCAACAAAATCATTTAGACTCTGTGCCAACAAAATCAGATACCTTTTATAAACAGTTAAATAAATGTCACTGAGACATGAAGGACATTTTTTAATCTGTGAATAGCTTTGGGTTTTAATCAGTTTTTTAGGGGAAATCGATTCTTTTTTTTTTTTTTTTTTTTTTTTTAAAGAAAATGTTTGATTTTATTCAAATGTCTACCCTATTTCCTAAAAGAGGGATGTCTTGGAAATTATAGAGCTATGCATCATTTTATCATAAAATCTCTTCACATTTTAAAAGAGGGAAGGTAGGGGAGGGTGGGGGTAAGGGGAAAAGATCAACCAAAGGACTTGTGTGCAAGCATATGAGCCTAACCAGTGGTCACAGACAACAGGTGGGTGGGGGCATGCTGGGGAGGGGTTTGGGATGGGAATGGGGGGGATGAGGACAAATATGTGATACCTTTAATCAATAAAGAAATTAAATAAAGATAAATAATAAATAAAAGAGTGCACAGTCGGTGAGAGAGGGACGGAAGGACAGGACCAGCGCGTACCTGGAAGCCAGTGGGGCCAGGGGGGCCCTGCTCGCCTCTCTCCCCAGCGAGGCCCTGCGTCAGGAGGAAAGGAAACGGTGAAAATCCAGAGCCCGACCTCACCCTGCGCCCCGGCTGTGAGACACTAGAAGGCTCTCCATTTATTGTATCTCTTCCAATCGCATGTTGTTCACTTGGGCCGGATACTGAACTAGCACTAAAGTCATCTACTGGTTTGAGGTCCCTGCTAGCGAGAAAACACCTTTCCAAGCCAGCAAGGAGACTGACGACATGTGTTTATTTCTTCATCCAAACAAAATGTCTGGAGCCAATCATAACAGTATGGGGAAATTGGATAAATTGGATTTGGGAGAATTCATTGCTTTCACATATCTAATCTAAAATGGTGATATTTCCATTGCAGATTATTTCCAAATGTCAGAAAAGCCATTAATCAAACCTTCAAAACTAGTCAACAAAGCTAGCGTTTTAATCAGTTTGGTATTTTAAACAGATAAAATGCCAAAATATTTCTGATAAACACTTCGTTTTACAATGGTAGGAAGAAAATATACCCCCAAGGATACTATTCCTTTCTAGCCCCTCAAAAGAAAAGCCAGCTTAAGTAAATGTCTGTGAGACACATCATTAGAATAAGATAGATAATACCCGGTATTTTGGTATTTTAAATAAAATTCAGTATTAAATGTTAAGCAAGCTCTATTTTCCTTAGCTGGCATATTTTTCAACAGTGATCCACAAAGATGACGAGGAGGCTTTTGCTCTGAGCATGTTACAGAGATTTAAAACGGAGAAGCTAGTCATCCCATTTTAAAAGGCAGAAGATTCCTTGTCGAAACCGGTTTGACTCAGTGGATAGAGTGTCGGCCTGCGGACTGAAGGGTCCCAGGTTTGATTCCGGTCAAGGGCATGTACCTTGGTTGTGGGCACATCCCCACTGAGGGGTGTGCAGAAGGCAGCTGATCAATGTTTCTCTCTCATCGATGTTTCTAGCTCTCTATCCCTCTCCCTTCCTCTCTGTGGAAAATCAATAAAATATATTTAAATAATAATAATAATATAATAAAATAAAAGGCAGAAGATTCCAGCACAGGAATCAAAAGGAGAGAAGTAACTGAAATTCTTCAATCTGCACTTATTTGTTCCCTCCCAAAGTTACCGTAAGTGACGTCTTGCACACACACAACGAAAAGCGCAGATGGACACATTTAATAAAAGAGCACATACCGGGGGGCCCACGGGCCCGGAGGGGCCGACTTCTCCGTCCTTCCCGGGCGCGCCCTGGGCCACAGAGAGAAGGTGTGAGAGGAGGGCCGCGAGGATGGGGGTTATCTTATTAACTTATTTTATTTTTCTTTAGCAGAAAATGCATACGTTACCCTCTGTCCAGGGACACCGGCATTTCCTGCTTCCCCAGGTTTGCCGGGATCTCCCTACAGAACAAGGAGAACAGACTCACATGTCCTTCCGTGTGTGAAAAGCATGCCCATCCCGGCGAGAGCCCAGGAGAAGGCGGGCACATGGGACGGGTACTCACACTGCTCCCCTTGGGGCCGGGCAGCCCCATGGTCCCGGGCTGCCCCCTGATTCCCACGGAGCCGGGGGGCCCGGGGCGGCCGTCCTCCCCCGGAGCGCCCTGCAAAGCCACGGAGCCACGTGAGTCCCGGAGTTCTTTCTGAGCATCCCAGCGCCGCTGCCCCTGCTGTGCTAACTATACAACTTACCGTGGGGAGAGGTCAACCCACGGACTGTGTGCACACATATGAGCCTAACCAGTGGTCGAGGACAATAGGGGGTGGGGGCATGAGTGGGGAGGGGTGGCGGTTTGGAATGGGGGATTGAGGACAAATATGTGATTCTTAATCAATAAAGAAATTAAAAAATTAAAATAAATAATAAATTTTAAAAATAAAACATGCCACGTTTATCTCCGTGAACTAGAACAGTGAGTGCCCACAGAAAGAAGCAGAAGCTGTGGGAGTGGTTTAACTCTTCAAAACAAGAGACTTCATTCTGATTCTATGCCCGAGCTTCGTCTCCGTGTGGCCTCATTCGCAGGTGAAAAGAGGACCCTCTCCTTGTCCTTGTCCTCTGTGGCAATGAAACCGCGGGACTTCCATTCACACTTGAGTGTGAAGAGGGGCCCAGGATATATGAGACGTCAAAATGCGTGCCTCCTGATCTCTCCAATGTGTCAGATTGGAAGGAACACCGAGAAATGCGAATGTTGCTGATAGACAAGTCTCATCAATATTAAGAACACATCGTTTTGGCTTTTCCACTGGTGTCCATGAAGTAATTTTAATCTCAAACATGTACTTCAATAAAACGTGATTAATTCTGGTCAATTTGAAAATATGCAGATCCTAACCATGTGCGTCCGGGGGCAGGGCCCTTTGACCAGATAAGCAGTCAGCACGCACACGATCGAAAGCTTTAGCCTCCGCTGAAGATGTGCCCAGAGAAACACGAGTGGGTGAGGGCGTGAAACACTTACCAGAGGTCCGAGTTTCCCTTCAGGACCTTGCACCCCAGGATTGCCTGTCAGACCCTGAAAATCAAAGGCACTGTCAGTTTGCAGCTGAAGGTTCCGGAAGCAAACAGAGCATCACATTCTTAGGACCAGGTTCCACCAGCAATGGCCGCGCCTCAGAGTCCCTGAGACACGTTCATGGACCATCCGGGCCTCACCTGGAGGGCTCAGAAGGATGCTCGGAAGGATGCGGAGGACAGCGGGGCAGCATTGGGGGGAGAGGGTGGCTCTGCCTCCAAGGCACTCCCCAGGCCTCCCGCAATGCCCAGGCCAGGTGCCAGGGCATGAGTCTCCCTGATGGTCCAGGGGCCACCCAGGCTTGGAAAGCTCACGTAACCGCTGTCTGTACCCACCTCAACACAGTACCCTGGTCCCAACGAGGGCAGTGCCCTGGTACAAGTCACCCCAAATCAGAAAAGCCAACGCTGTGCTCCCACCAGGTTTGTGTGGCCCATTCAGAGCCCCCAGTCCAGATGCGGTGTAAAACCAGGCGTCATTTCCCTGTGGGCACTGCTGGCCGGCACCCAGCGGCACCCGCTCAGCAGACTGAGGGCAGAGTGTCCATCAGAAGGAGGAAGGCCGGCGTGGACTCAGTGCTAGGTTCGAGAGAAAGAACTCATGTGGAGCCCCGTGTATTATCTCATAACACTTTTTGTGTAGCTCCTTTCTCCTGAGGGCACTGCTGGCCACTGAATAGGAGGGCAATTCCAAAGTGGAAATAAACATTCCAGAGATGGAAACTATAGCTTACATGACGCTTACCATAAGTTCTCTCCATCAAGTCAAATAAGTTATCAAGCAAAATATATGTGAAAATTTACAAACAGAACTTTTTTTTTCATGTAAAGAGGTAAATTGTTAATACGGACCCTCTGAAAAAGGAAAATTAGAACTCAATGTGTTTTCTATACATGACAAAAATAACAAACCGGTATTTACAAATTAATGGATTGGGTCAAAACCGAAAATCAAAGAAATGTTCCAAGTTGTGAAAGTGAGCTAAAGAGGGAGAAGGGAGGGATGGATATAGGAAGGGAGGAAGAGAGGAGGGAGGGAGGGAACACCCTTCAGACGGACACAGACGGCCATGATCTTACCCGAGCGCCTGGCAGCCCTGGTTCGCCGGGGCGTCCTGGGTCCCCCTGCCCGCCTTTTGGTCCGGAGGAGCCCACAGGACCCCTCTCTCCTTGCGCCCCCTGTTCCAGAGCAGAGCACACGTGTCAGGAGAGCGCAGGGAGACACGCGTGAGCACACATGGAGCTCCCGGTCTACCGGCCAAAGCCCTGGCTAGCAGACATCGTTACTGTGACCGGGCGGTGACAGCCTCGCTCCCATCATTCAGATATTGGGGGGAGAGACAGAATTTCGAAAGAATCTACATTTCCGGATGAAGGAAGAAATACGTGCCAGCTCAAGGAAATGGCCACCCTCTTCCTCTCAGCATTTCCCTGACGCGCGTGGAAACAAGCTCCTGTGCCCCCTCATCGTCAGCCCCTCCCCCCATGCCGCAGCATCGCACGGGATGGGTGGCATCAGGCCTGACCTCTGCGCCCCAAGCTTTTCTGGACCGGGACCCCCACCCCCGGGCCACGGCCAGAGAGAGGCCTCACCTTGGGTCCCGGTAAGCCGTCCGAGCCCGGGAAGCCGCGGTTGCCAGGAGCACCCTGCGAAGGAGCAAGAGCCGCTCTCAGCAGCTGAGGGGCTTTGTGATGACGGGGGGCTGACGTCCATCGTTAGTCCTGAGGCTCAGCCCCTGATCGGGCCAACACGGCAGTGGGCACCCATAGGGAAAGCCCACACAGAGATCTTCATTTCAAAGAACATGTAAGCTCCGAGTCCAAAGTTGCTCTGAGCAAGACACATCCCAACAACTCCCGGTCCGATCAGACCTACTCGGACATGCACATCGGGAGGCAGAGCAATGGCGCCGTCCACGGCATCACCGCCCCACGGCCCGCGCCTGGCTCCTCCTGGGCGGACAGGAGCCTCGGCCCGGCTTCGGCTGTCCCCCCGCGCCCTCCGCCCGCACGTCTCATCCAGTCTGCTCGCCCGCCAGCTCCCCCAGGGTCCCCAGGGTCCGGGCTCCTCTCCTCCCCGACGGCTCCAGTAGCCCGAGCCCCTCCCCCGCCCGCCCTGCCACTCCCGGGGTGCCCGGCCCTCATGAAACCTGTCCTCAGTTTTGTTTACCTGTCCACCTGCTTTGTCTAACCCCCCGTCCGAGTGACCCCTGCTTCCCGCCCCCGAGGGCCGGGACCGTGCCGTCGCCCCGTGTCCCGGCCACACGGCCGGCGGAGCGGGGAGCAGCGTGTCCGCCCGTCCTCGCCGGCGGACGCAGACCCGGGGCTGGCGGCCCTCGGACGCACAGGCACCGTCTGACCGCCTCCCGCTCCCCGGAACCGGGGCCCGCGCTCCGTGACTCGGTTTACCCTTTCTCCCGCCGGCCCCTGAGGACCCACTGCTCCGGGGTCGCCGCGGGGGCCGCGTTTGCCTTCTTCGCCGGGCGGGCCGATCGGGCCCTGCGTGCCGTGGGGGCCCTGCGGGGAGAGCAGCGGGCGTTACCGAGGCCGCGCCAGGGCGGGGCGGGAGGCCGCTGAGGACGTGGGATGGATATAGGAAGGGAGGAAGAGAGGGACGGCGCCACACGGCCGCGTCCATGTGTGCCACTCGGCCGCGTCCAAGTATGTCACAGGGCTGTGTCCATGCATGTCACACGGCTGTCCACGTATGTCACACGGGCTGTGTCCATGTGTGTCACATGGGCTGATTTCATGTGTGTCACATGGGCTGTGTCCATGTGTGTCCCATGGGCTATGTCCGTGTGTGTCACACAGGCTGTGTTCATGTGTGTCACACGGGCTGTGTCCATGTGTGTCACACGGGCTGTGTCCATGTGTGTCACATGGGCTGTGTCCGTGTGTGTCATACGGGCTGTGTCCGTGTATGTCACACGGGCCGTCCATGTATGTCACACGGGCTTGTCCCCGCCCAGGAACGCACTTCCCACAGTTCCCGTTCACAGACGCGGCATTCGGGGCTGCCGCTGCTGCGATGGGTGTGTGCTTTCACTTAGAAGGAAGGGCCTTACCGGTTCCCCTTTGGGGCCAGCTTCTCCTTTGAAGCCCGGGACTCCAGGGTCGCCCTGAAATGAAAGCATCGTCAGCGGGAGCGCCCTCTCTGCCCATTCACCAGCCCGTGAGCCCCGAACAGCCAGGGCTGAGGCAGGGCTGCCAGCAAACCTGACACACGTGTGTGAACTTCCACAAACTCAGCGGGCCCTGGGGGCGGTGTGTTTATCTCCCAGCGTCCTTGCTTTTTATTTCGATGCTAGAATGATTGTAATTAGCTAGCTATTATTCCAATTCGATCATTAAGATGAGAACCAAACAATCACCACGTCTACAGAAAACCTACACAGGGTTTATATTGGGAAATAGACTCGCTCACCTAGTATCGAAATAATTTTATTTTTTTAATATATTTTTATTGATTTCAGAGGGGAAGGGAAAGAGAGAGAGAGGAGAGAGAGAGAGAGAGAGAGAGAGAGAGAGAGAGAGAGAGAAGGAGGGAGAGAGAGAAACATCAATGATGAGAGAATCATTGATTGGCTGCCTCCTGCACGCTCCACACTAGGGATCAAGCCTGCAACCTGAGCATGTGCCCTTGACCAGACTCGAACCTGAGACCCTTCAGTCCACAGGCCGACGCTCTGTCCACTGAGCCAAACCAGCCAGGGCCAGAATCGAAATAATTTTCTATTTATGTTCTATCTATCGAGAGTTTGACAACTTCATCTCTATGGGCTTTAGGGGTTTTCTTAGCTCAGGGTTTCATGGACATGTGTCTTCTTATACCAATTACAGTCGAGGCTGTAGGAAGCAGATTGCTAAATTGAGGGCGTGATAAAATGTGAAGTATTGGCAACCCTCATGTTTTAATAAACCTGTCACCAACAAGAAGAACTTATCAAGAATTAACAAAACCAAATTACTTGGAACAGAATCTAAAATATTTGGTTTAAGCAGAATTAGAAAAAAATATTTTTTAATGTATCCAGCTAAAACATATGTGAGCACAAGTTTCCAATCTGTTTATTCCTTATGGGCACATCCTAATATTTTTCCTAGAAAATAATTTCTGTAAAATATGGAAACTCATGAAATATAACAACGTGTTGAAATCTTTCTTCAAGTACCATATGATTTCACTTACATGTGGAACTTAATGAACAAAATAAACTAACAAACAAAATAGAAACAGACTCATAGACACAGAGAACAGACTGACAGCTGTCAGAGGGATTGCGAGTTGGGGGGCTGATGAGAAAAGTGAAGGGATTAAGTAAAAAAATTTAAATAAATAAGGAAAAAACCTCATGGTCACAGGCAGACAGCAGTGTGGGATGACCAGAGGGAAAGGGGAGAGGGAAAATGAAAGAGAGGAAGGGGGTTCATACAGATGGAAGGAGACTTGACTGGGGATGGTGAACACACGATTCAGTATACAGATAATGTACAGGGTTCCCCCAAAAATGTATACACACACGTTTTGAATAATGATAAAGACTGAATAATGATAACAATATGTATTCAAATACACTTCATTTTCAAAATTGAGCTACCAGCTGTTAACGTGTATTCATTTTTGGGGGACACTCTGTATTACAGAATGGTATACCTGACACCGATATGATTGCATTGACCAATGTCACCCCAATAAAAATCAAGCCCTGGCCGGGTAGCACAGTAGGTTGGAGCAGCGTCCCGATACGCCACGGTTGTAGGTTCCATCCCCAGTCGGGGTCAGGGCACGTACAAGAAGCAACCGATACATGCAGAAGTAAGGGGAACCACAAATGAATGTTTTGCACTGTCTCTTTCTCATCAATAAACTAAAAATTAAAGAAATTGAATGAAAGAAGAAAACCTCCCAAGAAATAGTTGTGGACTCCATTTTCAGTCACATCATCATCACTATAAGTCCCCATGAAGCCTCCACATCTCCCCACACTGGCTCGCTAGTGTTTCCATAATGTTCGTTACTCAACCACTCGTAAAATCCTGGGGCATCAAGTTATGACCTTACTGTTTTACATGAAGAAACCACTAACGTGCCGTTCCCCTTTGAATTCGAACATCAGCCCTGTGTGTGAACACCTGCTTCCTCTTGCCAAGGCCCCTGCCTTCGCCCGCCTCCGTCAGTTAGTCCCACGGTGTCATCGCACCGATGCCGCTCCGCCCGGGACCCCAGCCCGGGCCCCGACGGCAGGCGCGGGTAGAGGACGTACCGGCTGGCCGCGGATTCCCGGGAGGCCCGTGCTGCCCTGAGGTCCTTGGGATCCGGGGGGCCCTGCCAGGCCAGGTGGCCCCGAGGGGCCTGCGGAACCCTATAGAGTGGAGAGAGACGCCGTGAGAGAGACCGGGGGAGGTCTCCGCCGGCGTCCACAGCCCCTTGAACCCCGCGCGGCGCAGACCGGGTGCTCACCGTCGGGCCTTTGGCGCCAGGAGTGCCGTCCGTCCCCACCGCGCCCTGCAGGAACAGGACAGCCATCAGACACCCAGCCTGTGTAGACATCTACCATCTTCCCAAGGGGGACCCCGGTTACCCCCAAACCCAGCTCCCCCGCCAGAAGACAGCGACTGTGACATGTCCCCTCGCAGGCCCGCTGGCAGCGCAGACGGGAATGGACTCTCTCACCAGGGCAGCAGCAGGGAGGCGGGCAGGACAGGCTGGGGAGCAGCCTCTGTCTCGGAGCTGCCCGCCGGCCTCCGGACCCCACACCCGCCTCCGGACACCGCGCCGGCCCGGCACTTACCGGGAGGCCCTGGGAGCCCGCGGGCCCTGGCGGCCCCGTCTCGCCTCTCTGCCCCTGCGGGCCTTCGGGGCCGCGCGCCCCGGTGGGACCTGCTTCTCCCTGGGGGGCAAAGAGAGACGTCCGTTTTAGGGAGATGTCAGCACGGGGTGATTCAGAGTCGATGGCCTCCTTGGAGTTTCACATCTTCCACCCAAACACTTAGGGGCCGTGGTTGGCAAACTGCGGCTCGCGAGCCACAGGCGGCTCTCTGGCCCCTGGAGTGTGGCCTGGGCGAGTCTATGTTGAAGGGGTGGCGTTAGAAGAAGCTTAAAAATGTGGCTCTCCAAAGAAATTCCAACCATTGTGCTGTTGGTGTTTGGCTCCGTGGACTGAGTTTGCCCACCTCTGCAGTGTTTCCCAGAGTGTGGTCCGCGCACCCCAGGGGCACGGGAAGAGTTCGGTGGGGAGATGCACTACACCGTGCTTAGCTGCGCCTAATCCTACGTTCTCATGAGTGCGAGGGGTACTCAGCGTTACAAAAATTATAGAAGGGGTGCACCTATGTCAGAAGTTTGGGAAACACTGGTTTAGAGCATTCGGCTGGTTCTCACCGCCAGGCACTGTCGACAAGAACAGAGTTCCAGTTCAGATTCAACTGCTACCCTTTGCAGCTGCCATGAGAGTCTGCCTCAGGGCCGAACGCAGCAGATTCTCTGACGTGTGTGTGATCATGAGTGACTCTCTCTTGGTTACATATTATTTAGTAATCTCATTTTTACATTTTCTTTACTTTTTCCCTACCACATGGACACAGAGAACACTCTAGACTCTGTCCTCAGGTGAGAGCACCTTCTGACTCTTGGGTAAATGAAATGACGTTCCTCACAGTGGGATGCGTGTGATTAAGAGTAAATATGGCAATGCCTTACCTTCATCCCAGGATTTCCCGGAAAGCCAGAGGAGCCAGGAATCCCCAGAGGACCCTGTTAACGGAAACCAGAAAGATGCAGGACATGTGACTTAATCAGCATCTACACAAAATTCTCTACTGTGACACATAAGTAAGAATAATCCAATTAGCACTTTGAAATCACAAAAAGAACAGTGTATTTTAATGTAAGTACCTGCCAACATGAAATAGTGCCAAATTCTATTATGTGTATTCTTCATGTCCGTGGGTGGTAAACATAACAGGATTTCCTACTTGCCACATAGCAGATTGAATCAGTAACAACCACAATTTGTTGAAAACAGTTGCTTAAGAAATACATTTTTGCCCAGCTGGTGTGGCCCAGTGATTGAGCATCGACCTAGGAACCAGGAGGTCACGGTTCGATTCCCAGTCAGGGTGCATGCCCAGGTTGTCGACTATTCCCAGTCGGGGTCTGCAAGAGGCAGCCCATCAATGATTCTCTCTCATCACTGATGTTTCTCTCTCTCTCTCTCTCAATCTCTCTCGCTTCTCCCTTCCTCTGTGAAATAAAAATCATAATAATATAAAAAAGAAATGTATTTTCTTTGTGTTAACCAATTACTGAAGATACTTTTCCGAGTTATCTTTTGTACCACAATCTAGGACTGTCTGTGGAAATGATGCGTAAGAATCCTCTGGACACCTAGGGCAGTCGTTCTCAACCTTCCTAATGCCTCGACCCTGCAATACAAGTTCCTCATATTGTGGTGACCCGAGCCATGAAGCTATTTTTGTTGCTGCTTCATAACTGTAATTTTGCTCCTGTTAGGAATCATGATGTTAATATCTGTGTTTTCCGATGGCCTTCGGCGACCCTGCTAGCTGTTCTCGTGATCCACAGGTTGAGAACTGCACCTTTTTATTATATTCCAAGTGACTGGGTGCAGTGGGTGCTCTGTAACGTTAGTGAGTGTGAAAATAGGAGAATGCATGAATGAATGAATGAATGAATGATGAAAATAATAAAACTCACCATCGGCCCGGGCTTTCCAGGCATTCCATGTGCACCTCGTTGTCCCTAATGAGGAGAAAAAGAGATGAGAATCTACTTCATTTGCTCATAACTCATTTGCTTTATAAAAATGTCCATGTTACAAATTAAAGAATAAATATTAACTAATGACAAACTTCACGGAGTTAATAGAAGTAAAAATACACATTTACCCAACACTGGTGACGTAGATTATTTCTACGTTATACGAGAATAGTTAGTGGATAATAAGCGCTTGATAAATGTCACCTGTTATTATAATGCTATTACTATTCCAAAGCCTATGCTTTTCCATGGGTTATATTCCATGCTGCTGTATGTTTTCACTGTTTTCTGAATTTCTGCATTAAAATAAATAGGCAGCAAATGTAAGATGTGAACATTGAGAGAAGCTAGGTGAAGACTTCATAGGAATTCTATCTTTGCAGCTTTCCTGTGAACCTACATTTATCCCACAAGAAAAAGGAAACATTTAAAAGTAGACACTGGCATTGTGATTCCCATTTTAAATGCAACCCAGTAAAGCATTGCAGAGAGCGGAGCACAGACTCACCGGCGCCCCCTGCGGGCCCAGCCTGCCCCGCTCTCCCGGCATGCCCCTGGGCCCCTGTGGGGAGAAAGAGAACACAGCCCTTGAAGCATCAGATTTAAACCCTAGGACAACTTGTTACACTCAACAACTGAGACACAATACAACTGACCACCAAGCCATCGCATCTCTTGGGGTAAATTGGGATTTGAAAAACTCTCCCTGTGGAGATGTATAACCTACCTCCTCCTACCTAAATAGACTTCATTTAACATAGTTTGAATGGGCTGCGTCTACCGGAATCTGACTGGATCACTGAGTGCAGAGAACATTGATACTAAGGGCGCTCAGTCAAGGAAAGTAAGGAAATGCTGGAAGACATTCCTATGGGAAGGGTGCGACTGTGAGAGTGTGCTGCCTATCAGACGGCAAGCAAGATGGCTTCCCCAGCAAACGCTACCCATGTCTTTCTGTTTGTTCCATGCAGACACTCCCTTACTGACATCTAAGCAGCAAATACGTAACGAAGAGTGAAATGGACACTTACCGTGGGACCCATGGCGCCCATCGGGCCAGTGGGACCGGCTTCACCCTACAGCAGAAAGACACCGGGACAATGTGAGGACCCTCCGTGGACGGTCACACGCGTATCATTCTCAACACGGATTTCCACAACGGGCATCCGAAGGGCATGGGAAGGGCCTCAAAAGTCTATTGAATTACGTTTTCTCAAAGTGCAATAAAAGCCCATCCCTGCAGAAGTAAGTCTGGGGTAACACTGGGGATGTAAACAAGATGGACGGGGCTTCCATCCATAGCCACATTAATCAGCATCAGAACTGATGCCTTATCTCTGTCCAACAACACTCAGGCGGGTGAAACTCCACAGAGGGGAAGCTGGCTGCAGCCTGTCTAAGTTCTGGAACAGGAAGCGCAGGAATAACCAACGTGAGGCCAATGTCTGCGCGTGTGACTCTCAGGGGACTTTCCTCCACGGTGTCCTCGGCGCTCCCCCCGCGGCTCGGCTCTCCCAGTGGGAACGGGAGTGAGCGTGGGGAGAGCAACCGCCCAATGGCCAGCGTTAAAGGACACCGAATGGCGGGGATAGCGAACCCCGAGCCTCGGTGACGCTGAGGAAAGCAGGTGAGCGTGTTTTAGAAGGTGGGTGTCCAGTGCCATCGGGCACATGAGGACGTGTCCACCCCACCCCAGGAGGAAGCCAGAGCCACCGGGCTGTTCTTGGCGGCAAATCAGGGCACAGCCTGTATCCTGTGAACCTTCTGCCACTCGTGTACGAAACAGTGCGCTTATCTACCCGGCTCTCATCGTCTGTACCCTCTTTCCCAGAATGACTGGGGGCTCGGGAGGGGGAGCGCTTCAAACACAGCCCGAATGCTCCCGCGAGGCCGCTCCTGGCCTCAGACAATCACCTTGGACCCGGTGGCTCCAACTTCGCCTTTGGGGCCTTCCAGACCTTTATGTCCCTGAAAAGAAAAATACAAATTTGTATTTCACTGTGTGTGGGATTTTCCCTCTTCAGACGCATAAAAGACGCAAACATAAGCTTACAGAATGTGCCTTATGAAAACGAATCTCAAATTTAAAGTTGTTATTCAAAATGTTTCCAAATTCTCAACGTTTTAAAAAAAGCTTCCCCCTTCACATAATGTTTTCAACATGCAATGTTCTAACCTTTCAAAAAAAATTTTTTTGCTTCATAGAAATTTAATCTATAGCTATAAAGAACAGACAAGAAAATAAATAGTTATAGAGGTTTAAATAGTTACCAAATATGAGTTATATCCAGGGATAATATTCAAAATATCTAATAACTAGGGATTAGCACATATTCTAATCAGAAACACATCCACTCAAAACAGAGGCCAGCCAAGGTATACCGAGTAAATACCAGCCATGCTTTCAGATGGATGAATGGATGGATGGATGGATGGATGGATGGATGATGGATGGATGGATAAATGGACGGTGGATGGATGGATGGATGGATGGATGATGGGTGATGAGTAGAAGGATGGATGGATGGATGGATGGATGATGGATGGGTGGATGAGTGGATGGATGGATAGATAAATAGGTAGATAGATAGATAATTCTATAGCAGGTGAGCAAAAGTAGGTTTAAGTTATTTGTGTGGAAACTAATACAATAACTGATAAATGATAATGCAGGAATAACTGTGTTTCACGTCCTCACGCTGTGAGCCCACTTTTGCTCCACCCTGTACATGTGCACGTGGATAACCGGTGCGGTTAGCTGGAGCTGTAACGAGAGGAGCATCTCACAGCCCCACGTCTGGCGCCCTCGCTCGCTCGCGGCTGCACTTATTCCTCTCGGTGGCAGCTGCCTATTTCCTAGCCGAAGCCCTTTCAGCCTGAGGCCGAGGCCCGGTTCACCGCTGTCTTCTCTTGCAGCAGGTGCTCAGGGTGCGGTAAGCACAGGCTCACGTGAAACGCAAAGGCCGTGGAAGAGAGCCGAGCCCTTTAGGACCTCGGAGGCTGTCAACCACGGCCGCGAGGGACAGCTGGCAGCACAGCGGGCGTGTGAAGAGGGTAAGGCGGTGCCCAGCCCGCTCAGGAGCCACGGCAGCCGCAGGGGGGAGAGGGGGACTCACGCGGTGACCCTTCAGGCCAGGCAGGCCGGGCGCCCCCGGGAATCCTCGGGCTCCCTGTGGGGGACACAGAAGGCATTTCAGAGACACGGATAAGAACAGGAAGTTGCTTCATATACATTTTTCTCTAAAAAAAAACACCTGGTACATAGTTTCTCACCAACAACCAGATAAGAAACAGGAGCAGTATACATTCATCTATCAAAACACACAGAGGTGATCAAAATGAGCACCGACCGAGATGGAGGCAGACATACACAAAGACATGGTTAATGCCAGGGACTGACCTGATGACGTTTCCAAGATTTCAAATTATGTCACTGTGTTATTTTTTTTTTAATATATTTTATTGATTTTTTTACAGAGAGGAAGAGAGAGGGATAGAGAGCTAGAAACATCAATGAGAGAGAAACATCGACCAGCTGCCTCCTGCACAACCCCCACCGGGGATGTGCCCGCAACCAATGTACATGCCCTCGACCAGAATCGAACCTGGGACCCTTGAGTCCGCAGACCAACACTCAATCCACTGAGCCAAACCGGTTTTAGCTGTCACTGTGTTATTAATAAAACAACCAAAAACCAACAACAGAATAGCCGACGTCACATATCTAGTGTCTGGCCCAGCTCAGTCAGTGATGGGAAGGAAATCGGGAGGAAAACTTAAGGAAACTGTGACTTTCTTCCGGATATGCGCTTCATTGGGGGCAAAAGAATAAGTGCGTTTACTTTTCCTTACCTTTTAAATATGAGAGTGGGATATAAGAAAGTTCACAGTAAAATGAACAAACAAAGTATTTTAAAGTAACATGATAGAAAGAAGCTGGTGGGTTGGTGATTGTTTGAAAAACTAGCCAAGGAAATAAAATGTCCACCAGGAAGGGAAGTGAACAAATACAGAAAGAATAGGCTGGTTATGTCATTTCTTCATTTCTGTTCATTGTAGGCATCCTTTACCTAAGCATATCAATTTTTTCTTAAAAAAGGAAAATGAAACAAAAAATTAAATGCACTGGCAGGACTATTTTGAAACTGTGCTTGAGACCTTTCCCTCTGACGCTCTTACAACAGGTAAGGCCCAGTGGCTCAGGCGCTGGCTGCTGCCAGTGTTAACTGGACTCTGACTTGAAGCCGTCGCCCCTGCCAGCAGCAGACCGAGCAGGCGATAGATAGCACAGCTCAGTGTTATCGAAGACCCGTGATTAGTATTCATCTGCGTGTCCCTGGCACCAGGCCTTATGCCCACCGTAGGCATCCAATAACCAGTCATGAACTAAACAGCAGCAGTAAGAAGTGGCTTCATACTTCTTCTAAGGTCTCCTAGGCCAGCACCCTCTCACACAGAGCAACATCCATCTGTTTGCGTGACAGCCTTCACTCACTGCTACGCAAATCCGCGCATAACTGACTCCATAAGTGAACTTTGTATGATGGAGGCAGAGCAATAATCCCTCTGGGATTGCTGCGGGGGCTTCTGTGGCATTGGGGGGGGGGGGTATCACAGTCAGGACACATCAAACCGCTGCTCTCTGAAGAACACAAGTTCCTTTCATTCCTCTCTGGCCCAGCCCCGCCCAGGAATCCCTTCTGTCAGGAACTCCCCGGACGTGTTTCCGCTGGAAGGCCGCCCTGGCTGGGGTCCCCCTCCTCCATCCTGAGCAGGAAACGCAGCCCCTATCCCCCTGACCCCGCAGTCCATACGCCCCTGACCCCGGGAGCTCCTGAGCCCCCTCCGGGGCTGCTCCAGTCACCCCGAGCTTCAGGGGCCTGGTCCCCTGTGAGTGCGTCCTCCTCGGACAGGGAGGACCAGATGTGCAGCCCGGGAAGCCTTCCCCGCCACCCAGGCTGTCCTGGCGCCCTCACAGCCTGGCTCCCACTGCGGGCGCCTGTGGGACCCGGTGAGGGGGCGGGGGAGGGGCGCGGGGCGGGGAGGCCGGCACGCAGGTCCCTGCTCCTGCCCGAACCCGCCTGTGTCCGCGCTGGCATTCCAGGCGCAGGAGGAGGTGGGGAGAGCAGCAGCTGGGAACCGGGTTTACACCGAAACCCAAGAGCCCTGGAGCTCTATAAACTCCCCTAAAGATCAGCGCTCGTTGTTTTTAAAAATCCCAGGACTGAACCGCGCCCACTGTCAGCAGGTCCGTTGGCGGGAGCTCAGGCCTGCCAGATGCACTGAGCGCGGAAACACTTGGAAATGACACACAATCAACTGGGTGGGCGGTCACGTCAGGCTAGGCCTGCGGTTGGCAAACTGCGGCTCGAGAGCCACATGCGGCTCTCTGGCCCCTTGAGTGTGGCTCTTCCATAAAATACCACGGCCTGGGCGAGTCTATGTTGAAGAAGTGGCGTTAGAAGAAGCTTATGTCAGTCGTTGTGCTGTTGCTGTTTGGCTCTGTGGATGGATGAGTTTGCTGACCACGGGGCTAGGGGACGTGGCACAAGGAGAAGGTCAAGGGCAGGGAGCTTGCTTATCATTCCCTCACCGTCCCCACTGCCTGTGCAGCGCCTCGAGGGGCGGGCCCAGCAGAACGACGTGGGTGAGGACAGCCGGGTGGGCGGGTCAGAGAGCGGCCACCGGAGCAGACCCTGCATCCTGGGAGGGGGCCAGGCGGTGCCAGGATGGAGCTGGGGAGAGGGCAGCCACCCTGTGCAGACCCTCCATCCTGGGATGGAGCCTGGGAGAGGGCAGCTGTGCTGGAGGGGCTGCAATCGGTGCATCCTCTCAGAATGCTTCAGGCCCAGAATGCCAGGCAAGGATTCCAGCCAACGGGAGGGTCTGAGGGGAGCCGCACGGGCCGCCTGCCCACAGTCCGTGTCCAGCGCCTGCGGGCAGCAGGGAGTCCGCTCTCCAGCTGCTGTTCCCAACGTGTGACGGACACAGAACAGAAACGAAGAGATGAAGAGGGACCCCGGGACTGAGGTGCCGTGGTGTGTGAACACGTGGTATTCGGTTTGGAGACCATCCTGGCGGGCCCAGGCCTCCTGTTTTGGGCAGGTCGCTGGCCTGCTCGATGCACAGTGGGACGCGACACGCCCCTATCCTGGCGCAATGCCCCTATCCCGGCGGAATGCCCCTCCGTGGGGACAGAAGAAAGCCCACCCGGGGACCGACAGGCAGTGGCAGGAGAGGCACGCTCAGGGGCGTGCCCGTGTCTGAGGTCTCTCGCTGTCGCTGTATCACCAGGTGCAGACTCACCGGAGATCCGGAGAATCCCACTTCTCCAGGGTTCCCGTTCCTCCCGGGCTCGCCCTTGGGGGGAAGCAGAGAAGCAGAGCAGATTAGAACGTGCTCCTCGGGGACGCGTGACAGAGCAATCGCAGGTGGAACGTCCTCTTTAGAAAGACGGTGCCCAGGGCCCCCCCCCAGGCACAAACCCTGGCCCTGCATCCGACGGCCATCCCCTCTGACCTCAGCTGTGACGTGCCTCTCATATCACAGCCAGGAGAAATGGCATCCGTCACGCTGGTCTGCCTTAGCTCAGCACGTCACGAACATCCGAGTTTACATCATACGGAGACGTGCATGCGGCACTGAATTAAACGGTGTTTCTTAAAACACTGCTTGCCATTTCTTTCCTAGTTATTGAGTTAATTTGCATAATCATTCCTGATTGGCTGGTGGGTGTCACAAAGGTACAGTCAATTTGCATCTTATTCTTTTGTTAGTGTAGATATTAAGAACTGCCAGAGACATTTTCCCTATGGCCAATTTCAGTGTGATCTGCTTAAATCACATGAAACATGATGGGGAAATATGTACTCAGGCTAGTGTCATGTGGCCTCGCCATAATTTTATCCTCAACTTTGGCACAACTAAGGAAAGAATCCAGAAAAGCAGAGCTGCCACTGCCTCCTGTCCTTTGATCGAGTTTCGAATGTTAAACTCTGAAGTCGAGCCTTAACTTCCATTAAAAATCCCACTGAATGGGATCATGTTTCAGCATCGGAGAGCAATGCTGACGCTGCCCTACTGAGGCATTTACACCCACACCACAGGGACCTAATAAGATGGCTCTGCCATCAGCACGGAACCTGACCCTTCAGACCACTCCAGAGGCCCCGGGGACCCTGAGGGAGATCCTGGGGGATGCAGGGCAGGGAGGCACCAGACAGCACCAGCAGAGGACGCACACGCTTAGGTTTTGGGAAATTCTCCCCTGAGCGCTCCCTGACTGACACGAATGGAGGCTGGACGAGGGGGATGAAGAGGGGAAGGACGAGTGACATTCACGGTGACACTGCTCCTCCCTGCCACCCTCCACACCGCAAAGCAGACGAGCCACGACACCTACATCTTCGCCGGGTTTCCCAGGAGGGCCCTCTGGTCCGCGCGCACCAATCGGACCCTAAAACAAAACAGAAGCAGATGGAGGTTACCCACAGGCACCTGCGCCCACCGACGATGCAGCCAATATTGTGGAAGCAAATAAAGGCACAGAAAGCAGCGTCATCGATATTCTCAGTGTTCCGTTGTGTCCCTCAGATATGTGCCCAGCAGGAACATGTTTAATGTCCCAGATGCAAACGCCTCAGCACGGCTGGCTGACCACGTGCAGAGTTCCCGAATCTGCGTCCTCTGCCCGGGACACAGGGGGCGCCCCCCTCACGCAGGCCCCGCGGGGCTGGCTTCCGGCTGCAGCAGTGAGGGTGGTGAAGGGAGTGACTGAGGGCACACTGAGCGGTGGGTCCGCGCTCACTGGGCCCGTGGCTGGCTGACACTCACCATCGGCCCCGGCTCTCCAGGCTCCCCGGGAGGTCCTGAGGGGCCAACGCCACCCTGAAATCGAGAACGGAGCACGTGACAGTTAACGGACGGACCGCAGGCAGAGCCCCACCCTGAGTCCCGGGGGCCGGGCAGCTGCTCCACCGCTGGCACCGCTCTGGCCACGGGGCCTTGGCGGTTTCTACTCTGCCCACCGCTCCGTGAGGATGCTGGTCTGTAAAGTGACAGCAGGGCAGCACCTGCTTCTTAGCCTTTATAGCTACTCAGACTATTAATGCGTAGCGAGGACCTAGACTGTGCGGGCAGTGTTCAGTCAGTGGAGTTATCTCCTTCCTTCCCTTCTTCTCCCTTTTCCTTCCTTCCTTCTTCCTCCTTCTCCTCCTCCTGGTCCTCCTACTACTACTACTTCTCCTCCTCCTCCTCCTACTTCTCCTCCTCTTCCTTCTCCCTCTCCTCTCCTTCCTTCTCCTCCTCCTCCTCTTCCTTCTCCTTCTCTTCTTCCTCCTTCTCCTCTCCTTCCTTCTCTTCCTCTTCCTCCTCCTCCTTCTCCTCCTCCTCCTCCTCTTTCTTCTCCTCGTCTTCCTTCTACTTTTCCCCCAGCCACAGCTTTCAATCGTGCTGCACATGTCTCTAAGGAGTGAGAAGTAGCTGAGCTCCACCCATTGGGAGTGAGGGTCACAGCATGCACTGTCAAGGCCGCCAGCAGTCCTGCCAGAGGCCTCGCTTTGTGCTGGGATGGAATTTAAGGATAAAAGACTTACTTGCTGCCCTTGGAGCCCTTGAGGTCCCCGGGGGCCGACAGGACCCTTAAAGACAAGGGAGAAGTTACACGCGCTTCGTGACAAGCAGGTCAAACATTTAAAAACGTGGCGCTGCCTCCGAGCCTGCACAAGGGACGCCTGGGCACCCCGCCCACCCTGTCCGCGTCCTCAGGAATGCGGCGGGTCCAGCAGCCGGAGCCGGGCCCAGGGCGCCCCCTGCGCGCTGTGGGTGTCCCGGAGAGAGACGGAGGGCAGGCCTGCGCCCGGGCGGGGCCAGAGCGCTGGGCTGAGGGCGGCGGTCACAGGAGCCTCTGAGGGGGGGTCTCACCAGCAGAGCGCTCCCCCCACCCCCCCACACACCCCCGCCCCAACACACCCCACCCAGCGCTTCCACCACAGCAGGCGCCACGTCACAGGGAGCCATAACCCAGGGAAGAAAAGGGACATGCAATTTTTTTTTTAATTGGCTAATTTTAGCCAAAGCCGGTGTGGCTCAGTGGTAGAGCGTTGGTCTGCGGACTGAAAGGTCCCGGGTTCGATTCCGGTCAAGGGCATGTACATTGGTTGCGGGCACATCCCCAGTGGGGGGGTGTGCAGGAGGCAGCTGGTCGATGTTTCTCTCTCATCGACATTTCTAGTTCTCTATCTCCCTTCCTCCTCTCTGTGAAATATCAATAAAATATATTTAAAAAATTGGTTAATTAATGTCTATGCAACTTCTTAAATGGCACATTTTAAAAAGTAAAATCAGCAAAATCAAAATCAAGTTTGTTCTTACAGTAAAGACTAATTTTTTTTTGTTTTGAATTGATTGGATTGATAGCTAGTAAGAAAATAAAAGTTCCGTTACAAAAACAAATGCATATGCTATTTAAACGTCCAATGGATGAAAACACATTATTTCAGAAAATGATCCCAAGACAGCCACTGAGTGAGACCGTACGGCTGCTGATTGAAACATCTCTCACTGCTCCGGTGGTGCTGATGCTGCAGGGAGGACGGCGCTGGCCATGAGGATGCGGGGAGGCGGCGTCTGTGAGGTCTGGCTTCACCCTGACTGCCTGAAACCCTGCCAATCCGGGTGCTTCCGAGTTACGTCCTGAGCAAAAAGGCCCACAGGGCTGGTCTCAAAAGTCTCCCTCGTGGGTGCGAGGGCCTGGCTCCGCCAGGGAGAGGGCTGCCTGGCAAACGGGGAGCGTCGGTTAGCGGGTCCCTGCAGGGCCCCCCGGGGCCGGTGAGGCAGGTGGGGAGCATTTAGACTAAAACCGGTGAACTGGCCTCACCGTTCTGCCAGATCACCGTGTCCAACAACACCATCCTCGAACAGCTGCTGTGCTTATTTAAAAAGGGCGCTTTTAAATGGTATTGGTGGTTACCTGTTTTGTTTTAAGTATATGGTATTGATTTTTTACAGAGAAGAAGAGAGAGGGATAGAGAGTTAGAAACATCGATGAGAGAGAAACATCGATCAGCTGCCTCCTGCACATCCCTCCACCGGGGATGTGCCCACAGATGGTTACGTGTTTTAAAATCCCTCGTTTTCTTTAAATAAGTGAAACACATGGACAGTCCCTTATCGATGTCAACAAGCACCGAGCAGAGCTGAGAACGGGCCTGGCTCTCCAGGCCGGCAGGTGGCCCAGCAGCCTGCGGGGCTCGGGGGGCTGAGTGGGGAGACCCCCCTCACAGCGAGCGGCCCCGCCACAGGGGCTTCCTCACTGATCCCATTGCACTCACCACGGAGCCCGGCATCAGCCCCATCTGGCTCCCGAGCCCGGCCTTGTCGTCCAGCCCGGCCATCTGCGCGGAGAACGGCTGCGGAGGGACGGGGACACGGTCAGGCCGCCCGCCCGCCCCACGGGGAAGCGCGGACCCCCGCAGCCCGGCTTCCAGAACCGCTGGAAACGGCCACTCTGAGCAAGAAGAGGGTCCCAGCTGGTCCTCCCTGGCTGCGTTCCCGATGGACAGGGCCCCACAACCCCTCAGGCCGTGCTGTCTCTCTCAGAGCCTGTGCTGTCTCAGAGCGGCCACTGCGATGAGCCACCGTCCGAGACCCAATGAAGTCATGGCCCTTCCCGCTGCGCCCTCACCGGGCTCTTCCCGGTCAGACAGGCCACGTCGCCGGGGCCTGAGAGAAGCTTTGAAAGACGCGATTCCATGTCGGATGCCACAGCTCAGCTGGGATCCTCCCCTCCTGCTCAGGCCCAGCAAGCTTTACATGGCACATGTGTACGTTAATAACCCTCAGGGGATTCTGGAATGTCCCGAGAACTGGCAACAGTGTCACCTGCTCCCTTTCGATTCTAAATGCTCCACTAATCCCAAGGACCAGAGTCGTCCACACACGTGTCTGAGGGCCCACTCATCTCCAGGTTTTAGCTCGGAGAGAACGTGTGAATTGTTCAAAAACGTAGACTGGCAATCGCTTCTACAGTCCGTTCCAAAACACAGGTAGGAGCTGCTGCTGACCGGAAATCCTATCCCGGGGGCCCGTGCGTCCCAGCCCGGCTCTGTCGGGAGCACAGTAAGACCAGGCGCCTTTGCACACCCTCCTCTGAGCTCTCAGTGGGGTCATGGAGACGTGGGGACAGGTGGGTAGGGTACACGGCCTAACACGGGCGTTAGGTCACTCAGTGGCCCTGTCACAAGCATCCCGGCGTCCTGCCATCCGCCCTGGGCGTGGACTCACACAGGCCCCCTCCCCCCGCCCTCCGAGCCCTTCTCCTTTCGGGAGCCATGCTCGCGGCCTTCAGGGTCCGCAGGAGACAACGTTCCCCAGCCAGAGCCAGAGCCCGAGCCCGAGCCCGAGCCGGCCTGCAGACCGCCCTGAGGCGGCACTTTTTCAAAAGCTGCTTTGCGATTCCCAGCCGCTCCCTGTGGACTCTCAGCTCCACCCTGTTCGCAGCAGCACTGCCTCCCGTGGGGGCTCTGACGGCCCAGGGCCAACAGCGGAAGCAGCACAGTTTTGAGTCACAGCGACAGATCAGAGCGCAGACGTGACCGAAACACCCACGGTGCCTCCTACTCACCCTGCTGATGCCGTCGGGCCCCGGGTGGGACGGGTGTCCAGGGGGCCCCGGGGGGCCGGGCTGGCCGGGGACGCCTGGCTCCCCATCGATGCCCTGAGGACCACGCGGACCCTGGGGAAACAAGCCGAGAGTCAGCTCTGTGCCAGCCGCCAGTGCACAGGCCTCCTGGCGGAGGAGGCGCTGTTGCTTGTTGTTTTTTTTTAATATATTTTATTGATTTTTTTTACAGAGAGGAAGAGAGAGGGATAGAGAGTTAGAAACATCGATGAGAGAGAATCATCGATCAGCTGCCTCCTGCACACCTCCGACTGGGGATGTGCCCGCAACCAAAGTACATGCCCTTGACCGGAATCGAACCTGGGACCTTTCAGTCTGCAGGCCGGTGCTCTATCCACTGAGCCAAACCGGTTTCGGCTGTTGCTTTAAATGAATGGCCATATGCTGACCTCCTGGCACAGACCTCCTGGTGGAGGAGGTGCTGTTGCTTTGATTCTAAATGCTTCACTAATCCAAAGGACCAGAATTGTCCACACACATGTCTGAGGGCCCACTCATCTCCAGGTTTTAGCTCGAAGAAGTCCATAACTTAGCCAGAGCAAGTGGCATTTTGAAAGGTATTTTCTTGGGAAACTATCCACATCTTTTAAAAATCAAACCTTTTCTGACTCCTAAGCCCCTGACTCCTCCCGTGACAGGCGTGAGGGGCTGGTTTCGCCGGCTCTCAGGGTGCCTGAAGTACGGGTGTGTGGGTCCAACATGAGCTGGCCGTGTGCCGGCCGTGGCTGCGCAGACAGAGGCGTGTTGGCCCGCACAGAGCCCGGCATGGAGCTGAGGAGTTTGACATGTGAACTTGCTCGCTGAGTACCGGTTCCTGTTCTGTGCAAGCAGGAGCCGACACCGTGTTTCCTCTCCGTGCGGATCCTAAAGACAGAGCCAAGAACTGCGGAGTGGATGGGAGTCCAGAGGGGTCTGGGTGGCACTGCCCCGGACGGGGGACCCCACCCCAGGCTTCGGGGTGAATAATCATGTCTCAGAGCCGGCTCAGAGGACAGCCCGCTGCTCAGACCTCATGGCGCACCCTGCATTCCCGGGGCGTCTCCTTAAACAGCCAGGCTGAGCCGTCAGACAGAGTGAGGCCACACTCAGAAACACTACCCACAATGCAGCGAGCACACCAAGCAAGATTATAAGAGAAAACAAGGAAAATATGATAACACGTATATGATTGTGTTTGTTGATGTAACTATTGAAACAGAAGCTGTAACTTGGGAATGCAGTAAACACAGATACGTCCACCTTCCCCGGCGAGGGGGTCACAGACATTGATAGCAAAGTTAACGTTCTCTTCAGAGTCCCCCACCTCTCCCCCTCCCCGCCAGGGTCCCTCTCCCAGGAAGCGACCTGCAGCACCAAGTTCCTGCGGACTGCCACCAGGGGGCGCCCTCCCGACGGCCTCCAGCAGAGGAGAGCTGACCGAATCTGGTTAACTGGGCGGGTCAGCCGTGTGACAGACACGCAAATGCCCGCCTGTGAGGCTGAGAGCCGGGTAGCCCCGCCTGGCAGATTTACGCAGACCTGCAGGTGTGTGATGGCATGTGCGATGGCACTCACACCATCCGCTGCCGGGCCTGACGGGCGGCCAGTCGCCCAGCTCCGGGCCGTCACCGGGACCCGCCGCTGAGACTGAGGACGGGCGAGGCCCTCGCGGTGGCCGGGCTCACCAGGAAGGGCCTGAGCGTCCTCCACACCAGCGTCCTCCTCTCTGCCTCCCGGGCCCGGCACCACCTGGCGATGCTCGTGGCACATGCACGAGGCAGGGGGACCCGGTGGGCAGTCAGCGACGCCACCTTCACTGCCGGAGCCTCTGCCCACAGCGGAGTAACAGGCGGAGAGCGGCCGCCCGCGGTGAGCCCGGGGTGCGGGCGGCGGACGTGGGGGGGGGTGTTTACGAGGGAGTCAGCCACGGGGGCCAGCCACGGCTTTGGTCCAGGTAAGCAGCCCCTGCATCGTGGGCACGTGGTGGCATCGCGCCAGCATCGCGGCAGCAGCCCTGGCGGGCACTGACGCCCGGGATCGGCAAACGCCGCAGGCCCGGTGTCTGCTTCCTTCTAAGGAGGCGGTGGTTAGACAGCACCACCGCTGCCACCGCGGGGGAAGAGTCCCCTTAGCGGGCGCTGCCAGGTGGCCTGCTTACTCCAAATGAGTGGCTCCTCACGCTTTCTCACACACACATATAGACACACACAGACACACACACACACGCATACACGCACATACACACACATACACACATACACACACATACACACATACACACACTCACACACATACACACATACGCACATACACACAGAGACATGCAAACATACACTCACACGCTCACTCACATGCATATACACACACTCACACATAGATATGCACACACATTCACACACACTCACACACACAGACATACACACACATTCACACACACATATACACTCACTCACACACATATATACACACACATACACACTCACACACATACACACATATACACACACATATACACACTCACACACACATATATACACACACATTCACACACACATATACACACACTCACACACACATACACACTCACACACACATACACACACACACATATACACTCACACACATACACACATACACACACTCACACACACACAATGCACACACATACACACATATATACACACATACACACTCACACACACATACACACACATACTCACACTCTCACACACATACACATACACACACTCACACACATATATACACACATACAAACATACACACACCTGCACACCTGCACACATACACATACACACATATACACACACTCACACGCACATATATACACACACATACACACACATACACTCACATATATACACATATATGCACATATACACACATAGACACACATACACATGCACATATATACATACATACACACTCACACATATATACACACGCATTCACACACATACACACACTCACACACATATACACACATAAACACATACACATAGACATGCAAACATACACTCACACACATACACATGCACACACTTACATACTCACACACATACACTCACACACACAGGCACCCACGCGCACACACACTGACACACACACACACACACAGAGACACACATACCCACACACAGTTCGCAGTGATTGTCTCAGGCCTGATGAAGATGGGAAATAAGGCTCATCACACGCTGAGTTGAGAAGAGCAGGGAAGGGAAGTGAAGGGAAGTGGAGGGGAGAGAGGGAAGGCGAGGGGAGGAAAGGAGAAGAGAAATAAGAGGAGTGAAGAGCAGATTCATAAATCCTAACGGAACTCTGGAAGGGCAACCCTATTTCCATGGCGATTTCCCCCCGACTTAGGACTCCGTGCTATAAGCACACGTGCACATGTTTTCCGCATGACCCTGCCCTCCACCCTCCGTCCACCCACCTCTGTCCCTGCAGCCCCTGGACAGACCGCGCCCGCTGACCGGTGGGAAGCCACCCCGGGGGGCCGTCAGAGCACAGCGTGAGCCGGGGCTGGAAGTCATGGCGCCCGGCGTCCCGCCCTCCGTCCGGCCAGCCGCTCCCCGGGCCCCGGGCCCCGCGTCTACAAACACCTCCACACCCGCTCCGGCGGGAAGGGCAGGCGCTACCTTAGGCTCGCACATTCATCGAGGAAAACATAACGCGCTATCAGAAATGAGAACAGGGCCGAAGCCGGTGTGGCTCAGTGGATAGAGCGCCGGCCTGCGGACTGAAGGGTCCTGGGTTCGATTCCGGTCAAGGGCATGTACCTTGGTTGCGGGCACATCCCCAGGGGGAGGATGTGCAATTAGCAGCTGATCAATGATTCTCTCTCATCGGCATTTCTAACTATCCCTCTCTCTTCCTCTCTGTAAAAAAATCAATAAAAAAAATTTTTTTAATGAGAACAGGGTGGCAGCGCTCCCAGCGAAATGTCTTTTCTCTCATTTACATAGTCAAGGCTGCTGGCTGCTCACCTGCTCCTCCATTCCTCCCGTGTGGTGGTGGATAAATGCATATTTGAAAGGTTAAAAGCCCAGGGTTAAATTTTAGGACATAGCATTTGACAGAAACATAAAAGCGCAGAATTTTGGAACTGAAACGTGAGATAGTGACAGCAATACAGTAATTAATCCTGCCATTCTTTATGTGGGAGGCGGGAGCTCCTGTGGGTGAGGGAGAGAGAGCTGCCGTCCTGGGACGGCGATGGGGAACAGCTGGCACAGCCGTAGGAGAATCCCTGTTTGCCCTCACGGGCAGGGGATGGACTGCTCACACTTAGGGCGTCCCTGCATTCGGAAAAGGACCTGCTGACTGCCAGGGCCTCCCCGGTGGCCCTGCGGGTCCTCTCCTCTCCATGCAGAGCAGACGCTGCCTGTGAAGTGAACTCACTCTCCACCCACGTGAGAGAAAGCCTGTGCTCCGTTAGTTTCCTCCGCAGCCGGGTCCTGTGGCGGCCAGACCGGAGCCTGGCTCTGCTCATCGGGCTCCTGGCCTCGCTCGCCCTGAGCTACAGCTCGGGAGGCACAGAGGCTCCTATACCCCAGGCCCCTTCCTTCCGACGCGGCCTCACCGAGGACCAGAGCTGCCGCTGTGCCCGCCGGGGACAGCGTGCTCATTGGCCTGTGGCCACCTCCGGGGCGGGGCACCGTCCCTGCGGACCTGGCCTGAGGTCACCCGGGGGCGGGGGGGGGGGACAGAGCCCCCGCTCCTGCTGCAGAGAACGGGGTCCCGGGGCTCCGCGCCCAGCACTCACTCCGAGGGCCCCGGTCACTCACGGGCTTTCCTTTGGGGCCGCGGTCTCCTCGGGGTCCCTGCGATCCTGGGGGGCCCTGGGGAAGAGACAGGGTTACGCCATCAGAGACACGGCCCGCGGACGCTCGTGTGAAAGGCTGGCGGGTGAGAACCCGGGAGACGGGGATCGCCCTGCGCTGGGAACCCGGTGCCTCACGCGGGAAGAGGCGGCCACGGCACAGGGAGCCCACAAGGGCGCCCTGATCCCGGGGGAGGTCAGCCGGCCATCAGGGCGTTACCGTGGCTGTCTGCCTTCCCGCGGCGAGAGGGGCGCTGACCGGGAGAAAGAGCGGGTGCCACAACAGAGTCCGGTGGCCCCTGCGTGTCCCTCCCATGGCCCTTCGTGTCCCTCCCGTGGCCCCTGCGTGTCCCTCCCGTGGCCTCTACGTGTCCCTCATGTGGCCCCTGCGTGTCCCTCCCGTGGCCTCTGCGTGTCCCTCATGTGGTCCCTGCCTGTCCCTCCCATGGCCTCTACATGTCTCTCATGTGGCCCCTGCGTGTTCCTCCCGTGGCCCCGCGTGTCCTCCCGTGGCCCCGTGTGTCCTCCCGTGGCCCCATGTGTCCTCCCATGGCCCCCGCGTGTCCCTCCCGGGGCCTCGCTGGAAGGTGCTGGAGGGAAACGGGGTGAGCCACCAGGCGCCCTCGCTTTGCATTGACGCCTTTTTGTGACAAAAGCCCCATAAGATGCTCAGGCCCTTCCAGAGCCCCGAGCGCCGAGGGAAGGACTTACTGAGGGTCCGGGCCGCCCGCGGATGCCGGTCACCTAGACGGAAACAACACGACTGGTGAGGACGGACATCTGCCCACGGACTTCAGGAAAGCCAGCATCAAACAGAGAACAGCAGGAAGGCGGGAGGGGCTGGCAGGGCCTCGGGGGCCGAGCTCGTGGCGGGGAGGGGCTGGCAGGGCCTCGGGGCCCGGCAGAGCTGTGCCTCCTCCCCAGCAGCTCCCAGCGTGGTGGCTCCCCGGCGTGGCTGTCTCTCTGCGGATGGCGATGATGATGAAGGCCTCCCCACAGGACAGTGCGGACCAACAGTCTGAGAGGCACCTAACAGCGCCCGAGCCACGGAGGCACAGAGAGCTCGGTGAAAGGGGAAACATGGTGTTCCTTCTGGGCGACTGTGCAAAGCCAGCCGCCTGATGGCAGAAACGCCAAAAGCCCAGCAAGGCAACACCACGCACTTCTTACTGACGGGGTGACAGGAATCCCTCAAACTCTGGACAGGGGTCGCGGGGAGCTGCCATCCTGTTCAGCGATCACGTTTGATCACAACAGATCCAGGTGCCCCTTCAGAACTGTTATGCATGGGGGGAGGACAGCTACATACTTTCAGCAATGAGGTGATTTTTAACGACTCTTCACAGCAGGAGTCCCGGCAGGAGGGGGGGACCTCTCCGGAGAGCGATGTCAGCTCGCTGTCCAGGGTCCCAGGGCGGGTACTCGGTATGGGCAGCTGTCACTTTAGTCACATAATCTACCTGTGCTGTACACCCTGCTTTTCACTTAGTTGTGGGGTGTGAAAGTCAGGAATATTGTACTGAATGAGCATTAAGTTTCGTATTGAATAAAGAGTCTATTTTGGTTAATATTCAAAATCATATTTAATAAACATAAAAGTTTACATTAAAATTTAGTATTGTATTAGAGAATTAATCCTGGTTTGCTTGTTTTATACTGAAAACTTGGTTATAAAACAACACACTTCCCTTGTTTTGAGAGTACGTACAGGAATAACAATATTCAGCTCCCTAGCTAGCTGGCGAGGGGCAGGAACGGGACGTATGCCGTACTCACCACAGGCACGGATCCTGGCTCTCCTTTCTCCCCCTGGGAAGCAAGAAAGCTCAATTAGCAAAATGTAACAGTCTGTTGAGCATGAACATGTCTTACTACAATATTCTATGCAAACACTGGGAATGTCTATGTAAGAAACAAAAAAAATGCGGAAGAGAAAGGTAATCAGTTTTGGCTATGGGGTCAGACATTGTTTGTGAGAAAAATCCCTCCTCCTCTGAGAGCTGGAAAGTAAAGCCACTTTCGTTTTTACAACAACCCACCCCCAGAGCTGACGAGACCAAGAAGTGCCTGTGATCACCCTCCGCTGGCACACACGTGCTCAGTAACTCCTTGTGGATGTATTAATTCCCACTGACAGCTTACGAATCAGTGCTTTTTACTGGACCACTGCAGAGAATAAATACATTAAGGATCATATTCAAAGTATGGAAAAAGCAAGAGTAATGAGTTCTATTTTAATTTCCTCTTTCACATAGATTGTTCTCTTATCTAATTATAAAAATAAAATGAGTCCATAGTACTTGAACACTTTGCGTGATTGCTAGACAAATTAAACTGGCTATTTCAGGGCAGTTTTCACTGAAATTTTTTAAACGGAGAAAAATAAAGAATAATCTATATATCATACTCAATATCTGGAGACAGTTAATATTTCATTTCCATCATGTGTCTGAACTTGGTTTACCTAATTAATGCCTCAGTTTTTTACTCTTAGATTTTGTCTTCATTTTCACAATTAAAAACAAGCTAACAATGAATGCCCCTGCTATAAAGGTTGGTGTGGCTTCCTGAAGATGCCGTGACATGTCTCGAGAAATTAAAGCTGTCAGTTAAAGCATCACACGTTTTAGCTGAAACCGGTGTGGCTCAGTGGATAGAGCGTCGGCCTGCGGACTGAAAGGTCCCGGGTTCGATTCCGGTCAAGGGCATGGACCTTGGTTGCGGGCACGTCCCCAGTGGGGGGTGTGCAAGAGGCAGCTGATGGATGATTCTCTCTCATCGATGTTTCTAACTCTCTATCCCTCTCCCTTCCTCTCTGTAAAAAATCAATAAAATATATTTAAAAAATAAAAAATTAAAGTATCGCACGTTTTAAAGATTTCTTCTCTGAATGACCTGATTGCACCCCAGAGGCACACGCTGACTGCCTCCCCGGTGTCTCCCAGGAGCACAGGCTGGCTGTGCGGGGAGACGGAGACGCCTTTACCGCCCGATGGTCGCGCGGTGAGCTCCCTGGCAGCGGGCACCGGCCATGCTCGGCGCCTCTCCCGGGGAGCAGCTGGCCTCGGGGGCCGGGAGCGGCTGGGAGTCAGGGAGGAAGCGGCTGTGCAGCAGCAGGAGGAGGCTCTACATGAGTGCGTTCCGGGGGATCGAGCCCGCACCCCCGCCATGTGCTCTGACCGGGAACAGAACCATGACCTCCTGGTTCACAGGCTGACGCTCAACCACGGAGCCGCACGGCCAGGCTAGCATCTTAATCGTGTAGAAGGGATATATAAATCCAGGCCCAGTAACTTAAAAAAAAAGGGGGGGAGGGGCCTTATTTTTTAAAAGTTTCTTTCTGGAACACATCTTCAAAAGAAAGAAGAAGAAAAAAAAACAAGTAAAAAGGGAGGATAAATGCTTTCAGCCAAAAGGAGAAAAATAGGCCAGCCTGCTAAGGATGGTTGTGAAATCTCCGTCCTGAGAGACCAGCAAGAGCTGTCTGCTCTGCCCTGTGTCCTCAGAGTGGAATCTGCCGGTGGCTTCCGTGGCTGCACTGTCAGTTTATCTGATGTCTCGGTGTGGCTTCTATCTCTCCTCATATCTGATGTGGGAGTACCGCTCCATTATCAGGTTCTGATAATACATCTGTCCGCTGTGTCTATGGTACTTCCTACTTTGGGAATAAGCCACAAGAGTAACTTTTTAAATACCTTCGCAGGGGCTTTGTTAATTAAGTTAATTTGTGCGGAAGGGTAATTTATCTAAGGTTTAACTAAATTTGGGTTTTATACCCATTTGAGTATCCAAATTCAGTTGAGGGGGGGGGTGGTATGTGTTTGGTAAAATGCTCAATTAATTCCTTTAGCTCCGTGGTGGGCAAACTGTGGCTCACGAGCCACATGTGGCTCTTTGGCCCCTTGAGTGTGGCTCTTCCACAAAACACCACGGCCTGGGCGAGTCTGTTTGTGGTGTTAGAAGAAGTTTAAAAAATTTGGCTCTCAAAAGGAATTTCAGTCATTGTCCTGTTGGTATCTGGCTCTGTTGACTGAGTTTGCCGACCACTGCTTTAGTTGAATCTTTATTTCCCAGCTAATGGAAGAGGGACCACAACCCTACTGAAGTAGAACTAGTACCCTTCCTTCCTTCTTCCCTTCCTCCCTCCCTTCCTCCCTCTCTTCCTCTCTTCCTTCCTTCCTTCATTCTCTCCTATCTCCCTCTTCCCCTTCTCTCCTTCTCTTCTTCCTCCCTCCCTTCCTCCCTTCTTACCTCCCTCCAATTCCCTTCCTCCTTCTTTCACTCAGTTAAACTTCTGTTGCACTTCTTATGCTTAAGGTACATGCTGCGTTTTCCTAAGCCAGCGATTGCAGGAGGCTGTGCATTCTGCTCTGCTTTTTGATATTTGCTTTCATTGCCCAGCGTACTGCTCACTCATCTCCACCGATGGGGTTTTACTTCATTCCTGGGGTTTCTGTGAAGGATGTATCTGCCTCAGACAGCCCTTAAGGATCTTGCTTTAATGCTTTCCATTCTGCCTTCCTTATTCCTTTCCCAAAATTTGAGTTTGGATACTTATTCAAGGCACGCTGTTACCTGACTGATATCCGATTACTGTCCCGTGTCTCCACAGACACACTGTGGACTGTGAGCCCACCCCTCCCGGGGAGCTCAAAGGTTAATGGGACCAGCCTCAATCCCTACGGGGCCCACCGCCTTCTGGAAGAAAGAGCTATGAACAAAAAGCAACAAAGCGCAGGAAAGAGAAGCATCTGTAATGGGGAAGCGAGAAGCTGCTGAGCTCATGTATTACATTCGGATGGTGCTTTGTACCTTATGAAAGGGTTCCAGACTCTTCAAAAGCACTTTCTCTGTAGACAGTATGGGGATGAAAAATACATTTATAAAAATGAAACTATGCAAATAAAGCTCACCTTTCTTCCTCTACCTGCAAAGAGAAGAGAATAGATGTTACATTATGCAGAAATAGTTTAAGTCTCCTAAACATTTCTCTAATAATAAGTAGTGGTTTTTTCCCTATCACTAGTGGGCAGAACTCAAAAGCTGTTTAGGATCAATGTATCCATAAGAGGCAAAATCATGCATCCCTTTAGAGAATTCTGACATTAAAAAATATTCTTCACAACATTTATATAGCATTCAAAGCTCACCAAATTACCAGAGGGTCAATCACTTACCAGTCACCACTCCACCCCCCTCAGAACCCTACCCATGCACCAATTTATGCACCGGGCCTCTGGTTAAAATTATAGTGAAATTATTTTAGACAATATTCTCTGCTTTTTTGTTGTTGTTTTGTTTTGTTTTTTGAGCAGGCTATTCATTCATATGAGTAACAAGCCCAAATCGATTAAAGGTGTACAATTATAAGTAAAACCCCCTTCCCTCTCGTCCCCCTCCCCTGATTTCCCACGTTTCAGCCACAGCAGGAGGGCACTGTTTTTAATTGTCCTATTACCCGTCTTCCTAACCAGGAATATAAAAGAGCATTCCGTTTGTTAGAGTCATCATTTGAATTAGCGGGGTTCTACAGTTTTCTTCAGATAAATCTCAGACATTTTGTGTTAAATTTACCCTTAGCCACTCTACCCTCCCTGTTGCTATTTTAAATAAAGTTTTTTATTCTCATTATTTATACTATGATGTAATCGCATATGGTAAACCTATTAATTTGTTTATTTTACATTGCCCTCTTACTAAAATATTTTATTTTTGTAGAGTGTGTGGTGTGTGTGTGTGTGTGTGTGTGGTGGTGGTGGTGTTGGTGGTGGTGTTTTTTACTCCACTCTCTTTAATTCTATAAGCACATGATTTTATTTTCTGCAAATTAATAATTTTACTTCCTCTTTCTAATTTCTAAATCTCTTAATTTTTTCCTCTCTAGTTGCTTGCTCAGATTCATTCAATAATGTAGAATTAACCCCTATGATCACGAATATCCAAGCTTTATCTCTAAGTTTGGAGAGAATACTCCTATTAGTAAACATTCTTTTCCCTTGGTTTTCCAAGATTCTTTCTTTTTTCTTTAAGTTTAATAATTTTACTAAGACAAGTCTCTATATAGATTCTTCTGGGTCAACTTTTTCAGACACTTGATTTGCTTTGCAATATTAAAGTTTAATGTTACTTCAAAAAAGTTTTCTTGTATTATATTATCATCTATGTTTGTTTCTTTGTTGGGGTTCTTCTTCAGGGATATCCTTGACCTGTCTCGTGTATCTGTTATTTCCTCTCAAATCCTGTCTGTCTTTTTCTCTTCTCATCACTATTTTCTATGCCCCTCAGTGCATTTTCTGCACCCTCACTTCTTGTGCTTCCTACTATTTCACCTTCATTTCTCAATTATGATTTTGGTTTTCCCTCTACTTCAGTGGTTCTCAACCTTCCTAATGCCACAACCCTTTAATACAGTTCATGTTGTGGTGACCCCAACCATAAAATTATTTTCGTTCTACTTCATAGCTGTGATTCTGCTACTGTTATGAATCGTCATGTGAATATCTGTGTTTCCCGATGGTCTTAGCTATGAAGTAGCAACGAAAAGACTGTTAAGGTTGGGTCACCAGGACACGAGGAGCTGCATTAAGGGCCGCGGCATCAGGAAGGTGGAGGGCCGCTGCTTCTTTCCTCATTACGTGTGTTTTTTGTAATTTCTAATTTACAACCTTCTTTCTCAGAGGCAGTGACTTTACTCAGTTTTATTCAGTTTATGATGAAATGTTTGGTGAAGTGATTTATCGGTTTTGTGATGACATATTTAACTGAATGTACCTGTTCTTGATCATGTAAATTTAGTTAAAATCCCCCACATTTTCCTCTCGTTGTCTCTTTGTATCAGCGCGGTTGCCAGGGGTGTGTGGTGGTTGTTACTGTTTTGGTAATGTTCACTGGGAGTGAGCTGCGTTTTCCTAAGCCAGCGATTGCAGGAGGCTGTGCGTTCTGCTCTGCTTTTTGATATTTGCCTTCATTGCCCAGCGCACTGCTCACTCATCCCCACCGATGGGGTTTTACTTCATTCCTGGGGTTTCTTGCTTTAATGCTTTCCATTCTGCCTTCCTTATTCCTTTCCCAAAATTTGAGTTTGGACACTTATTCAGGGCCCGCTGTTACCTGCCTGCGATCCGATTACTGTCCCGTGTCTCCACAGACACACTGTGGACGGTGAGCCCCCCACCCCCGGGGCCCAGCCCTGGCCGCTCACCGAAGCCGGCGCCGCCCCCCGCGCCCTGCGGGCACACCGGGCAGCACTCCCCGGCCGGCGTGACGGGGTCGGCGCACTCGAGCGCCTCCTGGCACTGGATCTTGTCGCAGAGGATGGCGCCGTTGTCGCACACGCAGATCTGGCAGGGCGCCGGCTTCCAGATGTCGCGGTTCAGGTACATCTGGCCGTTCTGCGTGCAGGCGATCTCCTCGCCGTAGCCCTCTGGGGGGAGAGGGCGGTCAGGACTCGGGGCGCTCAGGGCTGGGGCGGAGGGGAGAAGAGGAGGGGCCTGTGGCTTCTGGAGAATCGGGGTGAGCGGTGCCCACACACCCACACACACAGCGTGTGCCAAGCGCAGGGGCACGGCCTACGCCGTGTTTCCATCAGACAGCGGGCGCTCACAGCGAGGTGGCACGGCACCGCGTCCCCTGGGGCAGCAGTGATGCGACCAGAAGGGAAGCTGAACCTCCCAAAGGCTGTGTGCTTTTAATATACTTTATCGATTTTTACACAGAGAGGAAGGGAGAGGGGCAGAGAGTCAGAAACATCGACGAGAGAGACACATCAACCAGCTGCCTCTTGCACACCCCCTACTGGGGCTGTGCCGCAACCAAGGTACTTGTCCTTGGCTGGAATCGAACCCGAGACCCTTCAGTCCGCAGGCCGGTGCTCTATCCACTGAGCCAAACCGGCTTTGGCTGCAGTCTTTATCTTTGCGTCGAAATTAATTAAGAAAAGCCGTGACCAAAGCAATATGGCAGCCAATTACCTTCTGCCTGCCGAATGCTTCCCTGCATTTAGGTAAAAATGTAATGCAGATTTGGAAAACATGCACAAGTGCATAGTAACAGCACTTGCATTATTCGTCTACTGCAAAATAAACACATGCATCACATCCCTAACCTTGTGTGTTTTAAGAGCAAACGACAGCATTTTAAACCTAACGCAGATCACATCATCCCGCTTACTTCCTTCAGGAGCTTCCCAGGCAAACTCCTTCCGCGGCAGGGCCCTCCGAGACCCGCCCCCTGACCCCTGACCCCTGACCCCTGACCCCTGTCCTGGCGGGGCCTTTCCTTCCCTGGTCTGGGTCCCCTCGTCACTGGGAGGGTTTGCCCAGCTGCCCGCCCCCACAATTCTTCTGACAGCCTCACCGCAGTGGATTTCCGGTACCCGGCAGATGTGCTTCGCAGCTTTTTTTTTTATTTTTATTGATTTTTTACAGAGAGGAAGGGAGAGGGATAGAGAGACAGAATCATCGATCAGCTGGGGATGTGCCCGCACCCAGGTACATGCCCTTGGCAGGAATCGAACCTGGGACCCTTCAGGCCGACGCTCTGTCCAGCGGGCCACACCGGTTTTGGCGGCAGAGCTCTTTAGAGAGCCACGTGTCCACCTGCCCACCCGTTCGTGTCGTTGTGAGCGAGGCAATCAGCAGGTGCTCAATGTGACAGGCATGCCTCTCGTGACGTGTCATGTCGGTGTTAGTGTGCTTACTGATCAGGGTGCTTGCTGTTGTCTATCTCCTCGTCTCCTCCACGGGGATGAGGGTTAGTGTGTCTTGTTCATGGTGTTATCTCTAAAGACTGACACCACACTTTGCAGAGCTAACACCCAACAGACGATTGTTCCATGAATGGGTGTGAATGAACGAACGAAGGAATGAATGAATGAATGAATGAATGAATGCAAATCGTGGTTCACTAACTTAATTGCACCAGCACCAACTTCGCGCTTTACAAAAATAAAGCCAAAAACTTAAGAATGCGTTTGAAGTTAGTTTATGAGAGAAATGATCCTTTGGCACTGAGTACACTCAAACGCTAACACAGAACACAGGTGGCAGGCACTGGGCCGGAGGGAAGGCGGTGACCCAGCTGCCCACCTCCGGGCTCGGCGGGTCCTGGGCTTCCTCTCGGCCCTCCGGAGCCGTCCCCCTGCGTCTCCCATCGCAGACGCTGCCCTGCCCGCGGGCACGGCCTCCGAGGACGGCGCCTCCGGGTCCCTGGGCTCAGCCCAGCCCCGCCTGCCCTCCGGGAGCGCCAGCAGGTGCCGCTGCCCCGGCGACGCCCACCCCCGCCCCGCGCCTGCCCCTGCCGGGCGCCCGAGGACAGACCTCCCCTCCTGCCTCCGGCCGCGCCGTCTTAAAAAATAAGCAGAAACGTGTCCATCGAGTGAGCACACTGCTTTTAGACGGAAAACCGCTCTGAAGCTACGTCGTCCCAGGACGAGCATTTCAACAGACACGACCTCCGTGAAAGCGCGTGCGCCCGCATCCCCGAAAGCAGCCACACGTGTGCACCGAGGAGGCCACGGCCAAACCCGAATGCGGGGCTGAGGGAGACAGCGGCTCCGGGGGCTCGCTCCCCGCCCGCAGCCGGGACCCGCGCTCACGTGCTGGCCCTGGGGAGTGAGTGCAAACGCCGAAAGCACATTGTTCGGTCTCAACCATCTGTCTCGTGATGTACATTTCACCATCGATGAAACCATCAGACGCGTGGAAACACAGACTACGATCGATAAGCAATAAGCACAATGCCCTGCAGTAACAGCGCCAGGAAGGGCCCTTGAGAGCGGGACAGACTCCTGGGGGCGGGTGGCCTGCTCCGCAGCTCCTCCTCAGTCGGTTGGAATAGAGAGACTGTGCCCTGGGGTACTGTGCTGAGTGACACCAGCCAGGCAGGGAGAGACAGTATCCTACAATCTCCCTCACTTGTGGGATCCAATGAGCCAAAGAAGCTGAGGGTCACAAATGGGCCCGGAGACAGGGAAGCAGGGGCCGACTGCGGAGCCTCCGAGGGAAGGCAGGGGGGGAGGAGGGAGAACAGCCAGTGAGCTTGTGTGCACGTATGCATCACCGTGGACACGGACAATGGGGTAGGAAGGGCCTGGGGGGACGGGGTGGGCTGGGAGAGGTCAATGGGGGGAAAGAAGGACCCATGTGATACTTGCAACAGAAAAGATTAAAAATAATTTTAAAAAGAGCACACGCACACTCACACACACACATACACGCACACGCATGCACACTCACACGCACATACAGACATAGTTGTGCTGGCCGATAGCGAGCCAGCTTCTCCCTGAGAGGTCAGGAGGGCAGGACCCCGGCCCAGGGGCGAGAGGGCGCTGCGGTCTCTCTAATGGCGCATAAGAACCAGGGTGACCCCCTGAGTCCTCGCCGGTCCGTTTCCGCGGAGGATTTATCACTAAACGGAGATGATGAGGGAAGCGCGCTGGCTGCCGTGATGGCAGGGAGACGGAAACCACGTGTGCTGTGAGGCCGCCTCCCTCCCCGCACGGTCTGTGCAGTCACAGAGGCGCAGCCTCCGGGAACGGCAGGTGGGCGGGAGCCGGGCAGGGAGCACGGGCCTCTGTGCCTGCTGGGAGCTCGGCAGGGAGCACGGCGGGGAGCACCTTCGAGTGGCCGTCGGTTTCCCACACGGATGTTTATTTAAATGAAAGGACAGGACATAGAAAGCAGTTTGCAGGCAGGTGCCATGACGTGACTATGCTTTGGACGACAACACGACAACAGAACTGAACACGGCCTGCTGAGACCCAGGACTGCCATCCCGTCCACCGCGCAAACCACGGACCAACCCAAGCCGACGTTCACCTGAGCTACGGCCTGGATCCTAAAAAACGATTGGTCTCAAAGGACGTGGGCAGATAAATACGTCTTATTAAATCTGAAAAAAATTCTCAAACCTCGATATTGTAAACACTGTACTTTTTTTTTCCTATTTATGAGTTTTTAACTCTCCTGAAATTGAGGAGGGCTGGTACTTATCTGATGGTATTGCTATTATTTTGAACTCTGTGGTGGCGTAACTAAAACTGCCATCTTCCAAGCTGCGGATTCTCTCATCCGGACCAAATGTCCTGTAGGAGGTCACAGCCACAGAGGGCTCGGACCCCCTTTCACCGGCGGGAACTCAGACATCCTGTGCGTCTCAGACATCCCCGAGATCTGTCTCTTCGGCCGGCTTCCGTGCTGTTAAATTCAGTTACAAGAATTCAACTCGCAATCACTAGATGGCAGGCCACACCTACCATCTCATTATCATATATAATGAGGCCGGGGTCCGGCCGGCTGTGTGACCGCCTCGGGCGGCGCCATGGGCCACCTCCTTCTGTGCAGTCCCTGGAGGAATCTGCACTGGGGCTCGGCCCTCGCAGCCCAGGCTCTGGCGGAGGGCCGTCCGGAAGGACGTGGGAGTAATGAGCATATCGGTGATTATTGTGGTAGATTCCCGCCACGGCCATCCTGCAGCCTGCCTGTGGAGAGCCTGGCCCTCTCTGCGAACTGGACGGGGCTGCCGGGGGCGGTGGAAAGCCCGTCCAGCGCCGCCCCCGCCCCGAGGCCCGGGCGGGAATCCCCGGACGCAAGAGGAGGCTCTGCCTGCAGAACAGACGCTCACCTGCCACAAACACGGCCCCCCGAGGTGCGGCCGGCGGTCCCGTCCTTTCCTCCCAGCACGGCCTCCCGGGAGCCAGATGCACCGCCTGCCCGCGGCCGCACCCAGCACCCAGCACCCAGTCAGCCTGGGGGCGAGCTCCGCTGTGCGGCGAGCAGATGGGTGGGCGGGTGGGGAGCGGAGGGCGAGCCCGCTGGTGCCTGTGGGAGCCGCGCCCCTTTCCTTCCACCGCCCGCGCACCGAGCCGCCTGCTCTGAGCGAATGGAGAGCGGTCACTTGGCGGCTCTCACAGGTGTGTCCCTGGCGTGTCCCTGGTATGTCCCTGGTATGTGCCTGGCGTGTCCCTGGTGTGTCCCAGGCGTGTCCCTGGAGTGTCCCTGGTATGTGCCTGGCGTGTCCCTGGTGTGTCCCAGGCGTGTCCCTGGAGTGTCCCTGGTATGTGCCTGGCGTGTCCCTGGTGTGTCCCTGGCGTGTCCCTGGCGTGTCCCTGGCGTCTGGACCTCTGAGCCCAGGAAGGAAAAGCATGTGTCAGGCCCAGAGCTCAGGCCCGAGAACCATTTCCAGAAGCTGCACAGCCCTGCGGCCTCCCTGCCCCACTGGCAGGGGCCCTCCTGGGGTTGGGGGTTCGAGCTCACCCCCTGAGCTCCTCCTTGGCTGTGCAGCCCGGTGGGCGGGGAGCAGACACGGCCAGCGGGACCTGGCGAAGGGGCGGAGGAGGCTTTAGGGACCAGGAGGCAGCGACAGAGCAGCCACGGGGCCC